TACCATCAACGCATGTACGTATATGTACAGATCGAGTATAGTAATGTACATACATACATGAGATTACATTTTGAATATCTCTTAAGAAATATTGAAATATAGAAACTATCAATATCGAGAGCAAGCAAAAGGCAAGGTTTTATATCCAATATTTGCATATTTTGCAAATTTTGTTTTGTGTTGGTTAGTCTTTAAACCTAGATAACATACATATTATTATATGTATGCATATTAAATAAAAATATAATAAAAAATATGTATATATATTGTTTTTATATCTGTAACTTTAACTGATGGAGCGGCGGCAAAGTTTTCTCTATTATTTCTATGTAAGTGATTAATGTTAAATATACGAATGTTGTTCTTAAAAACTAGTCATTTATATTTTCAGTTATATGAGTGTTTATGTTCTGTATTGTAAATCTTCAATTTTGTCGGTAAATTCTTTCATAAATTTTTCTTTTGAATATTGATTCTATATGAGAATACAAAAACTATAATAGAAAGTTGAAAAAATACTTTTATTTATAAAAAAAAATTGGAATTCCGTATTATTTTTTTGTCCCACATAATTTGACTCGTATTACGTCAGAACATCCGCAAATTTTAGATGTATCTTTGTATGTATATAAAAGATATTTAGTTAATACAAAAATGTGTAATAAAGAAGGGTTTCATTTTTTAACATTTTTTAATGAAGAATGGTCACTCTATTATCAGTAAAAATTACACAACCTACATCCTGGGTAGCAAGGCTTGTGAGACCTGCGTACCAATTTTTTAAAAATTATATATTTTATCATGCAAACGTGCAGAGAACATTTTATAAGGGAATTAAACTGAAAAGCAACTTTGTATAACAACTTCAAAAAATTATATATGCAAGTATAAAATAATTTTTATTTCAATAAAAAAAATGATATCAGTTCAATTTTACAAAATGTAAGTAATAAACAAGTAAAAACGTTTCAGTCGGTAAAAAACCGACAAAATAATACCTTGCACTTTGACAATCTGAGTTTAAAAACTTTTTTTTTGAAATATCTAAAATTAGCTTCTATTGTTTAATGGAAACTACTCGAACCTGTTAACCCCACTTATTAGAAACTATAAGTGGACACAAGACTGCCAAGTTTCATTAATATAGCTTTAATATGTTTCTAAATATTAAAAATTTTCTTTTGGATTCGTATGCCAGCTACCCGAACCTTTCAAGTCTTTCCACCAAAACTTCAATGTGTGTGACATGAAATTAGATACACAACTGCCAAGTTTAAATTTAACTTTGGAGATTTATGGTAGCTACCCGAACCTGTGAAGCCATTCTACAAAAATTTCAGGGCTACATCTGACCTGAAATTGAATACACAACTGTCGAGTTTCATGAATTTATTATTATTATACAAAATATTTAAAATTTTGTTTTGGAGTTTTATTGCAGCTACCCGAACCCGTTTTCCGAATTAGTCCAATTACAATGAGATATCGTACGATCGGACGGACTTACATATCTAAATCGACGCAGAACTTTACGCTGAGGAAGAATATATATACATGTCCATACTGGAGACGATTCCTTCAAGTTGTTACAAACTCCATAAAGACAGAACATAATTGAATTTTGTTCGAAGCTTGAAATAAACTGTATTACCACACAAACACTTGCATTATTGTAAAAAATTTATGTTTTTATTAAAACAAACATTATTCATAAAAAAATTCCTAAAAATTTTTAAATAAGTAGAATAAAAATGTGAAAATGTTTAATTCCACGCGTGCCATAGAAAATTCGAAACGTGCCAAATGTGACACGCGTGCGAATGATTTGCCATCTATGATCTACATAATATTTAAATCAATTAATGTACGTAGTATTTGTGGATTCGACACCAGCGGACTGTAGAGATCGTAAAATTCTTAATAGTTTCATCACCCTTTTGACCCATATATTCTATTGTAAGTGAATCAGCCTTGTAATAATATTTTCTTCCAACTCCTACATCAATATTACTATAATTACTTTTTTTATAGGTACACTATTAATCGTGTAAGTAATATTTATACATAAGATTTAGTTAAGATTTTGCTTATATGGCTTAAGTACATGGAAAAGTAAATATGTATGAATAGGTTTGCATACGCATACATTATACAGATATGTGAAGAAAAATGAGAAATTGGTCAAATATGGGCGTCTATCAAATTAAAGATGTGGCGTTGACTTGAGTTTATCGAATTTTGGTACAATCTACATATATTATGTTAATACAATCATAGTTAGTAGTTTTTACCAAAATGTGTGTTTTGACAGATCAATTTTTAAATGTGGTCAGTCTGGAGGAATAAGTGCCCTTCCAAAGAACAAAATAAAACAACATTCTGACATTAGTAAATAATTTTGTTTACAGAAAATGCTTAGTAAAACGTAAAGCAAAAACCTGGTGTCAAGAAGTTTGCAGTTTATGGTAAACGCCGTGCATATATATATCACTAAAATATTTTTAATAAAATTTTATAAAATAAGTGAAATAGTTCTAACTTTCGTATATGTACATATACGAAAGTTAGAAATAAATAAAAGTCATGGAAGATAGTCGCAAGAATGCATATATCAGAATTATCTAGAATATGAAGTTTCTAAAATACTTTTACGTTACTTAATCAAAAAATTAATGTCAACATATCTGCAATTTATAGATTTACCTGCTATACTAATCTGCAATCTATAGAATGCACATTAGTATAGCAGGTATAGATAGAGAATTGTTATAATTATTATTAATGTTGTTTTTCTTAAACTTATAGATTTTAATTTTTGCACCTCTATAGGTGCAGAATTTCGATAACTATCTCGTTAACAGCGCGGTAGTGTAGGTAAATCGTTATTCCTCGAGTGTTTGGTTGATATTTGTTAATCTATAAAAATCATTTTTTTCTAAGTTTACTTAAAAGGTTTTTCATATTTGGAAATGTCATTTTGCAATTATTTCATTTGATATGATTGCAATTGTGAAATTTATGAAATTGTCAATTTTTGTTTTACGTCGAATGATTAATCAATAAGTTCAACTATTACTTTAAAGTAGGAATAGCACTCATCATTTTAAGAAGCATTATGAATATTTTTACCGGCGGCGTTGCATTCAATAAGGGGGTTATGTGATAGCATCAAATTTCATATTTCAAGTTTTCGGTAGAAATGCTTTTCTCCATGCTAGGGAAATATGATAGACTTTTTTAACTAGGTAGGTGACTATCCTGCCGTAGTTTTTTCTTTATACTAAGTATTTAAGTTTATTAATATTTACTGTTTATTTTTCTTAGTTGCTTGTATAATACTTGAAAATTACTTGTATAATATTTATAAGTATTTTATATTAAGTTATAAATATTGAATTTAGTTTTTATAGTTATTTGACCAGGTTTAGAACTCGAGACCCTTCGGTAAAAGGCCCGGTGGCATATAACCACTGCACCAATAGTCAGCGGTCATCAATGGTTTTAAGCGAAATTTTCTGCAAGTTTATGTACATATATGCTTCGCCTGATATTACAATTAGTCACTTAATTTTTTGAGGAAATCAAGTGTCGGCAATTGAACTTTTAGGTTAGTTATGTACAGAAAAATAATCAACCAATTTACATAAAACTTTATATTTAAAATTTAAATAATAAAACAATGAATTAGTAAATTTTTCACGAATATCAGGGCTCGGATAAACAAAATTTTCACTAAGGGTCGATTTTGTAAATTTAATTATATTTTAGGTAATAATTGACAGAATTTCTGGAAATTTAATATTTGAGTTCTGTTCGTTACGAGTAATAAAATGAATTGGAAACTTTGCTGTGTAATTGGATCACGGGAAATTAACTTCTAAATAGAAACAAATTCATATTTTTCTAGGCACATTAAGTACCAAGAATAATGTGAATTAGTCCTAAAACTTACTTTCTATCATTGATAAATATTTAATAGAAATTTCATAACTTTATGCAATACTTTAAGAACGCAGTCGGCGATGTTATATTCAGATTGAAAGTCAAAATTAAAATGTGATCAAATTTCTTCCCTGCTATTATTCTGAAAAACTTGAATTTCTTTTAATTTGAAAGAAAACTAAAAACAAAGTTTTTTTTTTTTTGAATTTTTCAGACTTTATTACATAATTTTCACTTTATTTTAAATTGGATGCAATTTCTTTTTAAATGATTTTATTTAATTTTATTTTAACTCATTTTTTTTTTATTTTCATTTAATGTCAAATTTTAATTTCATAAAATTTTTATTAATTTTTTTTTTTGTATTTTTTTGAAATTTAATTTTTGCTTTTAGAAATTCAATTATAAAAGGCGCCTAATTTTTTTTTATATTTTAATTTTTAATATTTAAATTTTTTCGTTTTTCTTTTATAATTTTTTTTTATAATTAATTTTCTGTTTTGTCATATAAATTAATATTTTTGTGAAATAATTTTGTTTTGTTTTAAGAGAGTTTTGTTTTATACTTTTAATTTTTTTTTTCTTTATTTTTCCGATGGTAATGGAAAATTTTTTGTTTCTGTGAAAGATTCTCTTTGTATGCGGAAAAATTTAAAGAATTTGAAATAATAAAGAAAAATAAAATCTTAAGAAAAAAATTATTACTTAAATTTCTTATATTTTTTTTGTAAATTTATTAAAATTTAATTTTATACTGTTCTATATGATTGAGTTTTTCATACTTAAGTTTTTATAATTAATTTTGCTATTTTATTTTATCTTTTTAGTGTACTTTTCACGATTTTAAATTTTTTCCTTTTTGTTTTTTATACATAAATTCTTCGTCAATTTTATATATGTATATTTATATATTAATATTTCTTCAATTAATTTTAAATATTTAGTTTTTGAAATTTTACGCATACACGACGAAAAGCTCCTCGTACATATATGAAAGAAATATTTTTAATTTTAATTATCCGAAAAATTTTGATTCAAAATTAATTATTATTTTATAATTTTGTTTTTTTTTTTTTGTTTTTTTTTTTTAAATGTGATAATTTCTAATTACAGAAGAATATAAGACACAAAATTTTAATTCTAATATTTATAATTTTTAATTATATTTCTTTTGGTTTATTTTTTTATTTATTCTTTTTTTTTTTTGGTTTAATTAAAGCACGATAAAAGACTTAAAAAACTTTATTGAACAGAAGAAAAAAAAAGTAAAGATTTTAATATAGATATTTTATATTTATATTAAAAGTGTTCTATATTACAACTTTGGTAAATATTTAAAATTAAGTAATGATTAATTATTAATTTTAGATAATTTAATTATTAATTAAATTAAGAATGATTAATTATTATTTTAAAAAAATTTAAACATTAACATCAAGTTTAGGAAATAATTATTCGGGTAGAAATATGCAGAATTCTTTAAAAAAATTGTGTTATATGGATAAGTAACTGAAGTTTTATTTATTCATTTTAGAATAACCATAAATGTAAGTGTTAAGAAAATAATTTTAATTAAGTAACGGGAAATTTATCATCTCTTGTCATTTGCTTTAATTAATTAATTTTTTGAAATAATTTTTAACATTATAATCAAAATTATTATAGTTTTTTCTTTCTTTTCTTAAATTATTAAAATAAGCAACAATTATAAAATATACAAATGAGTGCATTTTGGTGTTGTATGCGTGTAATTTACATATTTTTTTTTTATATTTTACAATATTATTTGTTTAAAATAATGTTTTTTTTTGTCATTTTTATTTTAATAAAACTCAAATATTATAAATTTTTTTTTTTTATACCTTATATTTATTTCTATATATATTAAATTTAAAAATAACTTTTAATAAATAATGTATTTGGTATTTTTTTAAATAGAAGTTTTAATTTTCCTTTTTTTTTCTTGATTTAACTTTTTTAAATAATCAAATAGGTAAATATTTAATTTTTAAAAATTATGCAATCATTTAAAAATACTTTTGGAATAATAATTTTTATTGTAAATAAATTTATATAATATTATAATATAAATATTTGGAATAAATTATTTAAATATGAAATTAATTTAAATTTAATTAAGCATTTTTTGCATTCTTTTAAATAATTTTATATTTAATATATTTGTTTGTTTTTGTTTAACAATAAGGCACTAGCTATACGTCTAATTAATTCTGTTATTAAAAAAAATTTAATAATGAGCACCGATAATTTTTATATTGTTGTAAAATTTGTAAATGTAGTTTATTTAGTTAAATATGGTCTTTTTATCCACATTGTTTTTTGTTTTGTAATTTAAAAAATTATTCAAATTGAATATTAATAATTTACTAATTAAAATTATTTATTTATAATTTTTATTTTAATAAATTAAGAATTTCTATGTTGTTTTTAAGATTTTCTATGTTATAAAATTAATTTCAATGTGTTTTTAAAATTTAAGTAATATTTTATTTTTTATATAACTTTTTAAAATTTGACGTATAGCTACTGACTGAATTTTACATTAATATATTATTTAATTACATTAAATAATAATTTTATTGAATTGATTATTTGGAATATTAAAAGTATAATTGATGCTCTTTTCTTTTAACAAAATATTTATATATATATATATATAAAGTATATTAACGTAAGGTAAAGATTTATGCCCGAAAATAACAACATCCTATAAAAGGGAAACGTGAGTTTAAAATTAACACAGAAAATATTTATAAAATTTTTTTTTAATATTATTGAAAAAGTGACCAAAAATGTTGGAATTCAGGGAATACTTAAAATGTTATCATAATATGTGGGAGAATATAACAATTAAAAACTTCGTAAAATATGAATAAAATCACGAAAATGTACAAACAATATATTTGTAAGTTGAAAAAGATAAAAGTTAAGCAACATTTGAAAATTAATGTAAAAATTATGATATAACATACGAAATATGTATAAAACTTTAGTACCGCAAATGCTTCTTGAATCGAAAGGTACATATGTACATATATGAATTTAATAATTTCTTATTTTTTTCACCAGCAAAGTGCATAAATAGTAAGATAACAAAAAAATATTGAGTTTCAACATTAAAATATAAATAAAATATTTAATTATTGAAGGTTAATAAATAATAAAATATTCCAGAAATAAAGTAGTTTTCCTCTTTTAATAAATAGTTTTCTTCTTTTTTAATAATTACAGTCTCTTAAATATTTTCAACATTAAAATGTGAGTTTCAAACCAAAATAATGTTCTTTTTTTAAATAAATTTTTGTGTTTTATCTAACTTAAATTTTGGTTTAAAAAATGTTAGTCTGAATATAACTCTCGAAGGTCAATTTATAATAACCAAATGATAACTTTACCGAAATATCTAAAATTGAATAAATAAAAAAATTAAAGTAAATTGAGGCATAAATCAATACGAAAACAATAACTTTGTCTCTCTATTTAATTATCAGGTTGTCAGATTTTTTTTATAATATAATTAATTATTTAATTTAAGAGGCGTTTACACACGAAAATAAATTGTATATTTAATTGTATAATTTTTTCTTTAAGAAATAAATAAATAAATGTTTTCTTTTATCTTTGCTTTTTTTCTTTTTTCTATATGAATTTAAATATTATTTTTCAAAAAATAAAATTTAATAGATTTTCAATTTATTTCCAATTAATTTAATAATTAAAATTTTACTTTTATTGCTATCAATTCTATTTTTTATTTTAATTTTTTTATTTTATTTAATTTATTATTGTTCTTATTTTATTCTGAGTTTCATCATTATTTTCAGCATCCTGTGCAGATTTTACATAAATTAAGAAACAAAATAAAAAAAAATTTTTTGTCTCATCCTTTTATTGTTGATTTTCATTTTTAATTTTAATTTTAAAATTAATTATCATAACTATTTTATACATTATTATTATATTATTTTGGTTTTATTATGCTTATTGTGAACAATAATTATTTTAAGGTTAATTTTTCTTAATTTTTTTTTATTAATTATTAAATTTATATATAAATACGTTTTTTTGATATATACACATCATTATATTTGTATGTATGAAGAAGCTATACTTTAGTTTTGTTATTTGGTTTTTATTCGTTTTAAAAGTGAAGAAAATTTATAACATAAAAGCAACATTTCTATAACTTTACAGGTAATATAATTAATACAGGTAATATAAAGTATTTTTTTTATGTTTTTTTTTTGCATTTATAATTATTGTTTTACATGAACATTTATGTATAAACGTTTTTGAAAATTTTCTTTTCCTTTTTCAATTGCATATTTTGTATATTTTTGTTTTTGGAAAAAAATTTTGTATAATTTTTGTAATTTTTTTTTATTATATTTGTAGTGCTGTGTTCGGCAAATATTTCCCATTTATGGTTTTTAATTTTAATCTATAAATAATTTTTATTATATATATATTATATTTTGTATATATATAAATAGAAATGTAATAATAATTTTTGAAAATTTTATAATAATTATAAAAAAATATATATTTACTTAACAATAAAATAAAAATATTTTTTTAGTTTTTAATAATATTACTAATTTGTATGGTAGTCAATTAAATAATATAAAATTGAATTTTTCTAATAGAAAATTTAGAAAATGGGAAAATTATATTAATTATAATTACATGAAATAGTTATACTTATTATGTCGACAATTTATTATTTTAAAATTATAACTGCAATATACACACACAAATGCTCTAAAAAATCTCAAAATAAACTTTTGAAAGTAAAAGCACTCTTATGCGTTAAGCTTAAAACTTTAAAAGTTTAATAAGAAAAGTGAAAGTGTATAAATTAATGGTATGTGGTTTAAGACATTTGTTTTTATTTAATTTTCTAATTTTAATATAAAAGAGAAATAAGAAATCTGACAGGAAGTAAATGAAATAAGTATATTAAATATATTGTTAATTTAGTGTAAAAAAAAACTCAGTTTGAGATCGTCTATTACACCTTCAGAGGATTTTCCCAAAGAGGTATACTCGTATCTTGATTTATGTCAAAGGAATATTTGTTATTCTTTTGTTCGGATTTTTGTACTTTTTTGTACATTTGAAAGGTAAAGTTTTCTTTTCATGTATACATAAATTTATTGTCTTTATAGAATACTTATGAATTTAATAGAAGCTGAGACATTAAATTTTATTTTAGTTGAACAATATAATAATAAATTTTCATTTAAGCAGAAATAAGTATTGGAACTAATATTAAATTAGCTGAATTTCTTTAATTTATTATCGACATAATAAAACTAATTTTTGAAAAATAAAAAATAATCAAAAATTATATTTATTACATTTATAAAAAAAAATAATAATCAATGTATGTATATGCGAATTTGTATGAGGGAAAAATTTAATTATTTTTGAAATTTTGATGTATTTTTTAAATGTTTGAAAATATATTTATGCATAATTTATGTATTTTGTATCTTTTTTTTTTGAATGATCAAAAAACGCAACATTCTTTATTATAAATACCTACTTGAACATTAATTTTATATATAAATTTACATTATTATTTGTTTTCTTTTTTAAAAAATAAATAATTAATAATTAATTTTCCTTTTTTAAACACTAAAAACTCTTATAATTCTAAAAAAAAACTGATAAACGTTTTGGTTGTTTTTAAATTATTTCTGCTTTATATACATGTTAACGTATATTTATATATTTAAATTAATAAACGTATATTATGTAATAACTGTATATATAAATATATTAAATTATATGTATAGGTTCATATATGTTGACATTAATAGTTGTATGCATAATACAACTAATATTATATATATATGTATATTATATATAAATATATAATATGCATATATATATTATATATTTATATATATACATAATATATATATATATATAATATATTATGTATATATATATTATGTAAATATATATATATTTATATATATTTATATATATTTATATACGTTTACATGTATACAGATTAATTTTATAATATTTTTACTATATTTTAATCTTACAAATTTAAATTTGTTTTATACTACATAGCTATTATATTAATTAATATTATAACTATTATACTAATTAATTACACCATGAAAGTGTTACATAATGAAAGTATAGAAGTATGTATATATATGTATGTATATGCTTTCAATTATAATGAATGTGTACATTATTTAATATTTTATTAATTATATATAAAAATGTATTTAATTTATATAAAATAATATTTAATATTTTTCTTTATTTTTATAACATTATGCAAATTAATTAATTTTTTTTTTTTCAATTTATTTGATATTTCATGTGGTATACTGTAATATATATGTATTATAATAATGATTATAAGAGAACATATTTTTTTAAAGTATAAGAGAAATATCAGTCATATCGCATTAAAAAAAAATTCAATAAATATGCATATAAATATGTAAATCATTTTTTTTTGCATAAAATAAAATAATACTGTGTGATTTAAAAATCTTTTCACACAAAAAAATATTGAAAAATTTGCAAGAATATTTTATTTTAAATAAGAAAAATATTGCTGAATTAATTTTTATTTGAATAAATTGTTCTGATTTTTACATATTCCTGAGAAATGGGCTATAGTGAAAAATAAATCTTGTATTCTAAAAATTGTTTAGAAGAAACTATGTGAATTTAATCATTCGAAATAAAATTTTTGTCATTAAATTCATGTTTTTTTTAATACCGAATGATTAACTTTTAACTGTTTTTTTAATTATAAATTTAATAAATTATATTAACACATGTATGTATATTAATTCTAAATTTCAAATGGAAACAAATTGGAAACAATGGAATTGGGTTTTAATGAAATCCGTTTAGATTGGAGAATGTTTTTGATTTTGGAATGGAATATCGATTTATTCGAACATCAAAATAAAATTTCTTCTCTTATAATATTATTTGTATAAATGTGTACGTAGGGATGTATTTTATTTTTTCAAATGTTAATGAAATTTCTATGTAATTTATTTAAACATATATATTACTTTACATATATCTTTTCTGTTTTCTATTTTGTTTTCAAGAACTCTACAGTTATCTATAAAATTTAATAGTTTATTGTTTTTTTTTTGTTTTATTTTAGTATTTTCTTGCATATTTTATTTATATTATTATATACATTTATATTTTATATAATATTATAACCATTAAAATTATAATTTATATACTACTATATTAGTATTTTAATATTTATATAGATTGAAAATATAATGAGAAGTGGAAAAGCTATCTATATATTTATATACCTACGAATGTGTAAATTTATAACTAATTTTAGAGTATATATATGTATATATATACATAAATATACTGTATATATATATATCACATAGATATAGTATATATACAGTATATTTAGTATATATATATGTATATATATGTTTATATATGTATATATTAATTATTTACTAATGACATTAATTTTGTTTTTTTTTTTAATTTAAATTTTATTACATAAAATTTAAATAGTACTATTAACATATCGTTTTTTTGTATGAACAGATGATTCTTGTATTTTTTTCAGATCAGTGATTATGTTTTTTTTTTTTATTTTAATTATGTTTTTATTAATTAAATATTATGTATATGTATAGATGTTATACTCGTATATATAGGGAAATTTTTTTATGAAATTGATTTTGTTATAAATATCTACATATTTTTAGCAGGAAAGTGTACTTTTTTTCATTTTTTAAATGATATATTAATTTTTGACGGATTTTTTTATATTAATTTTTATATTAATTTATACGCTAATTGATTGTATTAACTTATAATTTAATATTAATCGTATATATATTTTATATTATTAAGCATAAATAACACAGTAACAATATTATTGATAATTATTGTTAAGATACATGTATGTATGTAAGTGTGTGTTTTGGGAAAATTTTTGAGTATGTATTTAAAAAAATTAAAAACAGGAAAAATCAATTGAAAATCATGTAAATGAAAAGACAATTTTATTTTGTGTTTTTTATTAATAAATTTAAATGTGTTGGAAATTGTGTACTAAAATATTGCTTTAAAATTTAAATCAATAAATTCTTTTTTTTGTTTTTTCGATGAACACATCTTTAATATTTTAATTTCACACAAAATATGTATGTATATTTAATATATATCTATACATATACATGTATATGTACACGTAGTGTAAATTATATATTAAAATTTTTAAACTCAACTATTATCCATATGTTAATATGGTAATCTTTGTATATTTAATATGAATGGATGCGTGATAGTTAAAATGCTATACTAATGAATTGTATTTTCCCGCCAAAAATTTTAATTTTACGCGTTTCTGTTCCTCCTGATTTGTTTTATTATTTTATTTTGTAATTTATTATTAATTTCTTTAATTAATTTTTTTTATACAATCACCATATATTATTAATATTAATGTTGTTTTACTTAACAATCTACTTAGTTGATTTTTTTTTCTAATTGATTTTATTTTTTTATGCATTTTTTTTTTTGGTTTTAAATGGTTTCGGCAGTTATTAAATATATTAAAATGACATGTCAAATGAAATGAAAATGAAATAGGATATTTTATACTCTTTATGTATTTTATTGCAGTTTTTTTTGTATTTCATGCTATATATACATACTTGTATGTATATTTATGTTTTAAATTTTTGTGTACATTATTAAAATAATTATTAAATTTAAATAAATTTTTATTGTAAAGCTATTTGATAAATTTGATTATGTGGCTTCACTAAAAATATTATATAGCTAAATTTTTTGTTAATTCAAATTAATTATAATATGTAATAAGAATTGTAAGGAGTTTATACAATATGCAAGTAGCTATATATTGAAAAACTGTTTTTAAAGTGAAATATATAGCGAATTTATAAAATTAATTAATAGAAATTTATTTGTCAGAAAGAAATATGATTATAATTAAAAAACTCCTACTTGTAGATTTTGTAATTGAATTTTAAAACGATATGCGCAAATAATTACATGCATACATATATATTTATAAAAAATTAGAAAGTAATGTTTTACTGACTTGCAATGTTTGTAAAACTTTTTATTATATTTAAGGTTTATAACAACATTTTTATGTATATTGTTGAGATTATGTTTTAAATTGTGAGTTTCAACGTATGGCATCAAATGTAAAGAACATTTGGTAAAAATTAGAATATAAATTGTAGTCAGACTCAAAATGAATAGTTACGTTTGAGCTGTAATTGTTTGAATATCTATTTGAATGTTGTATAGCGCAAAAATATTGATTTTTTCGAAAAATATTGATTGATTTCGAATTAAAAACAATTTGATATTTTACGTTTGAATTTTAAATTTGACTATTTTCTGCATTTTGAATATCTTATAAAGAATACAATTTTTCACTCCGTTTTTCTATGTCAGAGATGTTCACATAAGTCTAATAACAAATAGCTATTCAATTTTATTTTTTTTTAAATAATAAGACATTTATATGATAAAAAAATTAATGAAATAAAAGAAAATATTTTTAATAAAACCTAAAACAGAAAAAAAACAAGCGAAATTAAAGAACAAAAATATAAAATTTAAACATAAAAGAACAAAATAAAATTCATAAAATACATAGCTATATATTTATGTATATTATTTAAATATTGTTTTACGTTTTTATTTATATATATATATACTTACTTATAAATATATTAACAAAGTTTTCTTATTCTGTATAAATTTCATATTCTCAATTCCCATATATAAAATATTTTTTCGAAATTACTCAAAAAATAAATTTATTTTTTTTTTTTAAAAATATATTTTAAAAAAAAATTAGTTTCGTATTTAACAGAAAATAAAGTTTTCGAGAAAATAATTTTCAATTATTAAAATAAAATAATATTGCAGGTCAATAATAAGATCGAATTTTGACAAAATGTGTTTGAATTTTTCGTTCTTTCATTTTTTATTTCCTTTTTCTTCTATAATTTTATTTATATGTATTTTTACAAATTTCCATATATAATAAATAATTATTCAATATCTCAATGAACACCTATTTAGATACAGATGTTTTCTCAAATTATATGTGTATGTACCTATATTGAATTTATATATGAACAATTGATTTTTTCTCTTTGTTTAGTTGATTTTTGTTATTTTTTTTGTTTTTGTCAATATATTTTAATGTTATTAAGATTTTTATATTACAGATTTTATAATAAATTATATATTTATTTTATTTTTTAAAATAAAAAATAAAAATTGAATTTAACTATATTAAATTTATATGTATGTGTATTGAATTTTGTTGAATTGAACTTAAAATTTGAGGGACGGTTTCTTATACACAAAAAAGAAAATTATTGACATATTTTTATTTTATTATTTTTTTTGTTTTAATTTTTTGTTTTATTTTACATTTTAAAAATTAAGTGAACTATAAGATTAATAATTGTTTTTATTTGTTAATTACTATAATTAATACTAGGAAACAAGAGGAAAATGTGTTAAGAAATTTTAATTTCTTGAAATTTAATTTCAAATTTGTGATTGAGTTTTTTTATAAATTTTTCTTTTGAAGTTTAATTTTCTTTTGGAATTCCGATTTTTTAATTTAATTTTTTTTTTTTTCTTTAAAAAGTTAAATTATGGCAGTGTGTATAAAAAATTGATATTTTTTTTATTAAACAAAAAAATTCAATTTTGAAAGCCGAGTGAGTTGTTTTCTGAGTTACAACATAAAGTTTTACGCAGTTTAAAGGGGAATTGGGGAAGGGGGCGGGGAGTTAGATTAAAAACTTTGTTAATTTTTTCATTTGAAATGCTCTAATATTTTTGTAATATTTCATTTTTTCTTTACGGATTTTTATTTTAAATAAATTTTAATTTAATATTAATTTAATTATAAAAATAATGTGTTTGTTTTTTTTATGTTATTATTATAATAATACCTTAATTAAAATAATTTAGATAATTATAAAATACACAAAAAAATCAACTCAAAAGCAAGAATGTTTTTGTTTTTTTTTAATTTTTTTTAAATTTTTTTTTTTCATTAAAAAAATATTTTATTCACTTATTACACTTAAAAAATATATGTATATACATATATATTTTAAACAAAGAAAAAAATTAATAAATAATTAAGAGGGAAAATTATTAAGAAAGAAAATTAAATGAATGAATTTTGTTTTAATTTTTCGACACTATTATGATTTAATTCTTTAATATTTTCATTTTAGGTCTTTTTTTCCATTTTTAAACAGTAAAAGTAACAAAATAATAATTAAATGTATTTATATATAAGAAAATAATCTATTTAATTAAACATTTATATATAAATATTATTGTATAAACATCAAATCTATATATTTAAAAAATTCTAAAAAAAAATTAAAAACAAATAAACTAATTTTAAATATTCTGACATCATGAAACTGTAGATGACGTATTACAAAAAAAAAACTCATTATTATTAATTTTTAAAAATAAATTAAAATTTTATTTAAAAATTAATCATTTTCGTATTTAAATAAGAAAAAAGAAAATCTTTTAAATAATAATATTGAATAATAATTTAATCAAAAAAAATTTATAATATTTTAATTAATTTAAAATTTTGTTTTTTCCCCATATTTAAATTTTATATTTCATTTCATTTTTTTCGCATTTATTACATAATTCTAATAATAATAATACTAGATTTTATGAAAAATCAAAATTAAAAATCTTTCTTTTTTTTCTGTTATTTTCTTTTATTTTTTTTTTAATTTTTTTTTTTATTTTTCTTTTCTTTTATAATTTATTTAATTAATTTTAATATATATAAATTTCTATATATTATATTTATATATATGTATATATTTATAATATATTGTTTATGATAAAAATTTAACTAAAAATATTATTAAAATATTTGCAATAAATGCACTTAGTGCTAATTCTTTGTTTTTAGTACCTCCAATTGTATTCCTTACATCATCTGGTTCTAAAATTGGTATATCAATAACGTGTATAATACCATTAGTACATTCAATATCTGGTCGAATAATTTTTATTTTAATATTTCTCCAATAAAAGAAATATTCTGTAATATAAGAGAACAAAATAGAGAGCAATAAAAATATAAATTAGTAAAATTTTTATTAAGTATTTAAATAAAATATTTTTTTTATTTATATAAAAATACGTATGTAGAATGCTTTGCGTAATCTCACTAAAATTATGAATGTTTATAAGCTTTGACATAAACTTTTAAAAATATAATTTTAACCCACAACTTTCCGAAATTATTTAAAATTTGACTTTGTTTTAAATTTTCAATTTTACAGATTATGGCTACTGTTTTTTTTTTGTTTTTTTTTACAGAAAGTAAAGGATTAAAATTGTGATATGTGTGTATGAAAGTTTAATGTTATATTAAATGTATAACAGGCACAAAAAGTGAAATGTTAAATTGTTAAAAATGTTGTTTAGTGTATGCATGTGGGCATTTATATTTATAAAATAATGAATTTGCTAATTTATTTTAGTAATTATTTTTGGTAAATAATGTTAAATTATTAAATGTAAAAGAGTAAAACAATATGTATAAAAATGAAAGTAGCGTAAATTATTAATGTAAGCGACATTTGGGCCCTCCTTCTCGAGTTTTGAGGCCGCAAAATTTGTATTTGTGAAAACAGTCCAATCTTTTTTTTTTATTCTTATTTACAATTCCGGAAATAGGCAGAAACGTTGACATTGTTGAGCTATTATTCGAAAAGTGAATTCTCTATTGTAAATATTAAATTAGTATGTCAATTCACCTAAATGGAAACAACAACTTCTGCTTTTAAAAAGATAAAATCATATTTAATATCAAAAAATTATTTCTATGGAATTGTCATAAATAAAGTTGGGTCAAACCAATGGTTTGTATTGTAGCACTTTTCCCTTCAACAAGTGAAAATTCTGCTTTTGAAAACAATCTATGTATATCCACCACACTATCAAAATTATTTTCATTCATAAACGAAACTATTTCTAGGATTGCATATATTTAGGATGAACGATTTATGCAGTCTTTGAAATAGAGCAAAAATTAATATAAAGAGGGGTTAACAAAATGCTTGATTTTAAGGTTTAATTGTGTGAGTTAAGAAGAATAATTATATTTTTTAATGTCATGGAATTTGCCGTTAGCTTTTTGCGTTTATAGAAATTTGAAAAATCTTGCGGTTTCGGAAATATAAGGTGTCAAAAATTCAAATTTTACGAATTTCAAGAGGCGATAACTTGAGAGGGGGTGGAGATGGAAAAAAATTTTCTTCTAACGAAATGAACTATTTGTTAATGTCTAAAAGCTCCTAATTTCAAGCTTCTGCAGGCTAGGGTCTAGGAGAAAAACGACATCAAAAATTTGGAAAAAAGGGACTTTAGATAACGGTAAATTTGAACGGCCATTTTGTTTTTCTGAAGTTTAACTACAGTCAACAGAGCTAGGGAAAGCAACCCACTGCCTTTCTGCGTTTGCAAAATTTCAAAAATGCTTATAGTTTCATTGCAACAAATAGTTAAAATAGGCCATTTTTAGGGCTTTGGGGGGTTATAACTTCTAGAGGGGGGGAGATAGGTAAAAATTTTGTTCAACGAAAATAAGTTTCTATTAAAGATCTATGCACGTATTAAATTTCAGCTTTCTATCTTTGAGAGTGTAGAAGTTTTGTAAACAGACACACGGACAGACGGACGGACGGACGGACGGACGGACAGAATGAAACTAATAAGCACTTTTTTTGGAAAAGTGCTAATAAGAATATTCAAGTTGGTCTACATACTTCATATATTAATTTTAGAACTCGTAAAATTCTCCTTCAAGCGATGTTTCATTGGTATCAAAAACTTTTTTAGTTTCCCAGATGTTTAAGTGCAAAATCAAAATTCGAGTTTAGTGGGAGAGAGTCTCGGACGCCTTGTAAAGTACATATGTATATATTTGTATATTCTGAAAATTAACTATACTAACTGAAGCAGGAATTCGATAATTAAATGTATCTTGTAGAAATGTAGAACACATGTTTTGTCTCTCATATACTTTACCATTAATGAAAAATCATTTTTTTTTTATTTAAATATTTTTTTAATAAGATGAATGCCAACAAAAATAATTGTATTTCTTATATAATGCCGTTTCAACAATTGTAAAAAAACCTGGTTATTCCACGGAATATAGAATTGTGAAAATGGAATTGTAATTTTTAATTTAATTGCAATAAACAAAAGAAATATTCAGAAAAAAATATAACAATAGTGGTATAAAAGTATAACAATATCATAGAAAGAAATACTTAAAAATAATTCAAAACAAAAGTTAGAGGATCATTATAAGTTGACGAGGGTTAACATTATTTAATTTTTGGCCTTGATTTAATCGAATAGGATGTTTAAAGAAAGATAAAAAATAAATTTTTTTATTATGACCTTTTTTGTTTTTGAAATTTTGTTTTGGTTTTTTGGTTTTTGTTTCGTTTTGTTGTTTATAAAAGGTTAAATTTTAACTGGGTCAGTAAGTATGTATATTAAATCTACAAAAAGGATAAAAATAATTACAATATTAAATTTAACATAATAATTTTATTTATGTATTGATTTTTAAAAATAAGGAAAATGTATTTGTGTTTTTTTATATATATGGAGACCTAAACTTATAAATCTAGTACAGAAAATTTTTTGAAATTGCTAAAAAACTAAAGTTACAGATGGTGTTAGATCAAAGATTGAGCGATTTCGGGTACTGACTTATTTTTTCTTAAACATTTTTACAAGAAAGTATCCAAAATATAGTTGTACAATGTGTAAGTGTTTTTTTGCTGTGAGTTGTCGTTGTTCTTTTTCTTAAGTAAGTTCTTTTTTCTTCACTTAGCGCCTTTACAGGACAAGAAAAGTAAAGAGTAAACCTATTAAACATTTTGTTTTTTGTTACCTTATGATCTAAAAGTTCTGCTATAAAAATTTCCACAATGCTGAATAATTACAATATTTAGTTAGTCAAGTAAAGCATCATGCTCAGACTATACCAATTATAATATCACTATTATAAAACATGGCAAAAATAAAGAAAAGTTTAAGAAAACATGATATTAAAATTTTTCGTACTACTTTTACTATTCCTTTTGAACAAGCTATTCTTAATTTTTACTTTAGTTAGTGAAAAATAAATCTTCTTTGAATTCAATAAATTTATAAAAGAATTGCAATTTATGAATAGAAAAAGATTTTGTGGAGTAGATTAAAATATCTTTCTTTTTTTATTATCTTCAAAAAGAGAAAAAAATGTGTAGCATTTTGTGAACAATCATTATTTTTTGCATATTTTTAGGTAAGCGTACTTTAAATAAATTTTTTCTATAGTTAGTAAGATATTTTTTTTAATAATCTTTTCTTCATTATTGAAGACTTTAAGCATTAAAATAAAAAATTTTCAAAAGAAGATGCAAAATTATAAAAAAAAAATTATTTTTTACAATGGTGAATTTGTATATATATTTTTATAATAAGAATAATCATTTATAGTTACAAAATGAGATTTATTATATAGAATATGTAAATTGTAGATGTTGTTAAATATTGATCATAAAGAATGTAACAGTTTTGTTGTTTTCTGATTTCAAAAAAGAAATTGATGCGTCCAAGTTCGAGTTTTACTAAATCTTGTAATTGACTGATCGGAATATGTAAGTATGCATGTTAGTTAATTATTATTTATAGTGTAAATTTCACTTAGTAATTATTGTAATTTTACAGGACCATTTAAAAAAGTAAATCTTTTATAAAGTATTTTTGAATTTATTTAAAATCGAGTTGAAGATTTCTGAGGCAATATATAAAAACTACTTATGTTAGCAAAGACTAGCAGCTATACTTTTAAAAATATTTAAAGAATTAAATTTATTTCGAATTTCAAAGTCTTCAAACAACTGAGTATTTAATCTTTTGCTTAATTTTGATTTTTATTGCCATTTTTAGCACTTTTCCACAAATTTTTTGAAAAAAAGTGCTTACTAGTTTCACTCTGTCCGTCCGTCCGTCTGTCCGCGTGTCTGTTTACAAAACTTCTACACCCTTGAAGATAGAAAGCTGAAATTTTGTACGTACATAATTAACGCTTAAAATCTAGCATTATGTTAAGCTCGCTTTAAATTAATTTTTTCTTTATTTCAAAGACTGCATGAATCGTTCATCCTAAATATATGCAATCCTAGAAATAGTTTTGTATATGAATGAAAATAATTTTAATAGTGTGATAGGTATACATAGACTGTATTTAAAAGCAGAATTTTCACTTGTTGAAGGGAAAAGTGCTACAATACAAACCATTGGTTTATCATTAAACCAAAACTTTATTTCAATTTGATTTGGTTTATCGAATATTATCACCGGATTAGAATATTCCGAATTGAATTAAATTTTATTAGATAATGCATTTTAATTTATGAGAAATTCAAAATGTGCCAATAATCGGATATGTGCTATGTCATTTTTTATATTGCTTTTTCTTATTGTCAAACGGACAATTTCATAATTTAAATTGAAAAAAATTGCCAGTTTGCATACCATTTAAAGAAGCCTTGAGCTAGGTTAAGATAAGTAACTTATAACAAATATGTTTTAAAATATTATAAATTATTTTATATTCGTTTATTAAGAATATTTAAAGATGCCAAATAAAAAGTATTTCCGAAAATGAACAGCTTTTATGATAATTGTTCGAACTTCATTGTGAAAGGAGTAACTTTTGTGCTTTTAAAAAAAGTTTATACATGTATATGTATATATAAATATAAAATTTATGTTATTTTATTTTACTAAATTTTTAATAACATTTTAAATAATTCTAAAAAGTTTATAAATTTGAATATTATTAAAAAAATATAGAAATGATAAAATAAAAATTTGTTCTTTTACGAGTATTTAAATTTAATCAAAAAATTTACTCCAATTTAATATTTTTTTTTTGTATAGTTTTATTTTAATGATGTTCTATAGCTGCTTCTTGAATATTTCGTTCATAAAATTTTGCGAAATTTTCAAAGAAAAAAAATTAGAAAGTAAACTGTACTAAAAACTTTATGAATCATTTTAGAATTTCAAAAAAAAAATCTTGTTTCGAATAAAAACAAAATTATTTTTTTTTGACTTTACATTTATGTAATCTGTTATTCCTATTTTCTTCCTACTAACGTTATTAAACTTTACCTTAAAATCTAAAAGTTCCACAGAAAATAGTACAGAAAAAAATGTGCACTAAAGAATATTAGAAGTTGACTAGGTATTTTTTTTCGTGCTAGTTTAAAAATTTTACAAACTTGTTTTGAAAAGAGTTACCAAAGTTGTATTTCATCTTCTTCATAATTTTCATTTTTGTTTTTACACAAATATGAACGTGCAATAAAAGGCCAACTATATAATAATTGTAGCTCGATTGTAAAATATTTCACAAATTACGTACATGAGGTCAGTATGCGATAAAATTCGAGAGGTTCATGCAGTTTAAGATGATTGTAATGATTTACGATATTGCATTAGTAGAGGACTTGTGAATATTCTATTAAAACCTTAAAAAATTGTTAAAAACAATTTTACTTTTAATTTATATCACTTTTGTATATAACCTAAAAGTAATGAAATTAATAGATAGCAAAAAATTCAAGTAAAGGCAATTTAAGATTATGCTGCATTATGTTTAATGTTGTTGTTTTGTTCATAATTTATTCAGATTTTAAATAAATTGTATAGTGTACAAGATTTGCAAGAAATTCGCTTTGCAATCTTATTTCCTTTTGTATGTCTTTAACATTGTTCATGTTTGTGTATTCTGAAGCAATATAGCTATGTATGTGTAAAATAATTTAATATTGAAATAAATTTCGACCAAAAATTTCAAATTTGGCAAATAAGGTTTGAAGTTAAAAATTTAATTTTTTGAAATAATTTGGGCGATAAGAAACTTGTCGATAACTTACAAAATTTTAACAGAAAACATGAACAGAATCATGAAATTTTTCATCTTAATATTTCAGATAGTACTATTAAGATGACATAAATTACTTTTCTAGAATGTTAACTAGATGTTCTCTAGAGAAAACTCCATTCAATAAAATTTAGGGAATGTTTGAAAATCTTTCGAGTTTAAATTTTTCGGAAATTATCTTGAAATTTTTTTTTTTTTAACTAAATCAGAAAATTATTTGATTAGCCTATTTGGAAATGAGGGTTTTAAAGCAAATTAAATATTTGAGTATTTTTGAATTTCACCATCCAAATTGTTTTTGTCATAAATTATTTTAAGATTAGTGGGCCAGGTGAAATGCTGTTCTAAAAACGCCTTAATTTATACATGTTATGCATATATATTTTTACAATTTTATTACTTATAAAATTAGAAAACATCAGGCTGGATGTTATCTTATACACGAAAGTATAACTATATTTTTTTATTTGTGGAAATTTTCTTTCTAATGTACAATTTCAAGTTATTATTTTTCAATGATTTTGACCCACTTGTTATACTGAGAAAAAAATACATTTATTTATTTGTTTTTTATAAGAAATGTTATAGGTGAGTTGAAAATATTTTTTTTAAATTTAAGGAAAAATGAAGAAGAAAAAATAAATATAGAAAATGAAATATAACTTTGAGTTGAAAGTTAAAAGCTGAAGAATACTGAAGAAAAAGTTTTCTTTTTAAAGTTTTTCATTTTATTTTATTTTACTTTTTTGTTAAGTTGCACACATTGTAAATGGGAATTTAATTGGATTTGTGGTTAAAATTTATTTTCACTAGAAAATATTTTTTTTATTTTTCTGCTTGTTATTGTATATAACAATGAATATCACATAAATTCGTTTGTACTTGGAAGTTCTTAAACTATAATAGATCTCGAGGAATATGGAGAAACTTTTAATATAGCGGATTTTAAAAGCAATTGATTTTATATTTTCAAAATACTTTGTTTAAAATCTTAAATAACCTATTAATTTAATATAATATTACTTTAATATTAATATTGAAATTAAAAACATCAAATACTAGAACTCCTAAGTTCTGTTGCTAATTGGTAGTTGGAAATTGAACAAACATATTGGGTTTATTAAATATTTTATTTTCTATTCATTAATAATTTTTCTTTCCTAAAATTGTGTTTTTGACCTTTGACTATTAGATTATATTATGATAAAATGGACGGAGGCTAGTCCATTTCGTCGTAATATAATCACAATACTTTCGAGCTCATGTAGGAGAATACATATACAAATACGTGCGAGTAAAAACTTTATAATTAAAGGAAAATTAATTGATTATTGCAATGTTATTCTGCAATATCAGCTAAAAAATGAATTTTAACTAAAAGGATCATCTTTAAGACTATACTCTATAAGAAGACAACAAAATTTTTTTTATCGAAAAAATTGTTTTTAATAGTAAATAATATGAATATCAATGGATGTCAACTCCGAAAACTTTTAAAAACAAAATTTTTTTAATTTTTAGTTAATTTAGTAAAATTAAATTCTCCAATTTTTAGTAAATCTATTGATTGAATTTCAACAACATATAAGATAAAATTTCCGGTACATCACTTTAGTTATACCTGATATACGAGTTTTAACTAATATTTTCTTGAGATAAACCTTTTCTGGAGCTTGTATTAATACATTTGATTCGATACTATCCAGGGGAATTCGGTGTGACAAATGAGAACAGTAATGCTCTTAATTTTTTTCACGCTAATGAGATGACAAAACTATAAAATTTCCGTTTGCCTGAATTTTCTGTTTTTTGTTCATTAACTTGATTGGTTTATTAAGCTTGTAATTTATAGATGAAATTCGTCAAACATAAGTATGAAACCGTTGAATTTAAAGGAATAAAAATTGTATAATATCGATTAATGAAATTGTATATACTTATATGAGTAAATAAGTTCTGTCATTATAAACGGATTAAACTGAAATTTAACAACACATACTTAGTTAGAATAAGATGTTTATTAAATTCAAAAAAAAAATTTCAGCAAAATTGTTATATGTGAGTCTATAATATAATATAAATAATTATTATAATATTTTTTCTGTAGTTGTAAAACTAAGTTTTAATATTATAAATCTTTAATACAGAAAAAAAAAATTTCTAAATAAAATTTAATATTATTCCTCAAAAATTTATATAAATAAAATATTATGCATCTAATGAACCAAATAAATTTTATATATTATTACAAATATGACAATAGAGAAAAGGTGTTAAAAGAACCCCTATATTACAAAGATTAAAATAAAAGACACAATCTTACAAATATGATATTTGTATATTATATGTATAAATAAGGAGATATAATATGTATATGCATATATAAAATTATGAAATGTGTAATCATAAAAAAAATATTTAACCTTAAATATGGGATGCATAAGACATACAAATAGATATAATCAGGAATTTCAGTTATATTATTATGTTATTTATGATTATTTACATAAAATTTATATGAATGCATACATACATATGTGAGATGTTATGTTAAAAACATTACACGTACATTATCATATTTAAGGATAATAAAAAAGAAAAATCTAAGAACTGACATCTCTGACTAATGAGCAAATTTTTTCTTGAACTTTTATTTTTTTGTTTTGCAATTTTATAATTTTTTTGTACTATTTTTTTTTTGTGATTCTCTAAAACATAAAAACATTTATTTAATTTTTTCCTTTTTTTAATGTTAAAAATGTTTGTTTGTGACAAACTTTTATATCTTTTACAATGACAAGTTACTTTTTATATATATGCATATATGTACATATAAACATAATATGCATATTAATAAGAACATGCACAATATTTCTTTTTGAATAGCAAATGAGTCACAATATACCATTTTCCAAAATAATGTGAGAATATTGTTGTAATGTTAAAAGATTGCTACACAATATTATTAGAAGAATGAGAATATAACCGGTGAACCATTTTGTGTTTCTGTAATTTATATACCGAATTAGAGCAACATATACAATAATTAATTTGGATTTGTCAATTTATTATGTCAATATAAAATTTGAACTTTACGCAATATAGTCGCATACGAGGGATTACGCATTAAATCGAGTTAGACATCCAGAGAAATAATGTTTCTTGTAAGGCATCAGTTTAGATATAATCAACAATACGTGAATACGTGAATATTTATATTTATTACCAGTATTGTGTTGTAAATTTAAAAACTTTTGTCAGTAATTTATTGAAAAAATATAAAATCAAATTATTAATTATATATTTTCAATAACTAATTCTTAACACGAGAATAAAATTTGTTTTATAAACATTTCCCTGTTTCTCCGTGTTAATCCAGTGCTGTTCAAAAGCATACAATTACAGTAATGAGTTGAGTATATGAAAAGAACAAATCTTACTAGTTTCTAATAATCTCAGTGAATTGTGAGTATATAATAGAAAATCGAAACATAGTCGAGTATCGAAAGGATCAAAATGATTTCCTATTCTATGTTTCATATTTTTAGGTTTTTTTAATCAATTCTACCATACAAACTCTGTATCCGTTTTGTGTATTATATTCACTCAACAAAGCCTTCTTATTCTTAATACATATATGATTTTCAATGTTAGTATATTATGTATTGATCTTATTAAATTTAAATATTAAACTTATGAAGCACTGATTTATGAACATTTATTTAATGATGAAAAATTTATACTATGAAAATGTAATTTAGAAATGAAAAAAAAAAAAAAACAAAAATGAAAATGAAATGAAAAAAGGATTTTGGTTTTATTTCCAGAAAAAGCATGAACACAATGTTTTGTTTTTTCCAAATAGCTTTAAAAGTATGTTAATAAAATTTTTATGGTAATTAACGGTTTTTGCTGAAAAATGCTTGTTTTTCATTTTTTTGCGCTACAGCTATTTTTTAACATGATTGAATCGAATAAAATGAGAAAAATTCGTCTGTTTTTTTTTTAATTTTTTTTTTGTTTGTGTATGGAAATTTGAACTCACCAGGCCAATTTTTCTCCTCGTTTGCGCCTTCAGTTAAAGATTCTTTTTTTGTTCAGATTTGTTTTCGAAAGTGTTTTTGTATTATGCAAAAGAATTGTTTTACCAAAAATTGAATCAATACATTTTATGATGCAGAAAATTTAAATTTTTGAAATTTAAGGATACGAAAAAATATAAAAAAGTTTTGTTGTTGACGTTTGTAAAATTGTATTTAGTTTTGATTTTGTGCAGACCACCATAGATCACAATAATATAAAGTTGAATTAAAAAGAAAAATTTAATAAATTAAAATATAAATAGGAAAATAAAAAATTTTAATTTAATTAAAAATTCAAACAAATAAATAATTATTTAATTATGTAAAATTATTTATATATATATATATGTATATGTAAATATATAAAAAGAGATTAGCAGTAATACCAAAAATATTAAAAATCATAATTAAAAGCTACTTAATACAAAAAATTATGTTTATTTCCGTGTATTAACGCTGTTGCGGTCAAACAACAAAATTGTTTAGCATAATTTTAATTTCTCTTTAGAGGTTTACGTTCGATATTAGGAGTGGTTTAGAAAACAGAAATATGTATATAGAGTGAACAGGCATTGGTGTTAAAGCCATGAAGGTTATTTTTTGCAATTCTTTTGAAAGGGGTTGAATGGGGAGCAGAACTATTTCTCGGAGAAAATTGTTCCAATATGAAATCATTATGCCTGGCAAATGTCTTTAACCATGAAACTTTGAGAAAAAAACCTAAAAATTTTTCAAAAAACGGTAATTATTTTTACGGTTAACTTGGTAACTTGTATATAATTTTTATATCACAAGTGATAAATTAAAATGATATTCAAAATTTAGAGATTTTTTATTTATTTGAAACTATCAGAAGTTTGTAAGTTTTAAGCGACTCATCTAAATTAAACTATCTAAATTAAATATCCATTTTAAACGATGGAAAAACTATTATTTTTGTAAACCTCGTCAAAAGGACTTAGTATTTACTAAAAAATTAAAATAAGTTCAGAAAAATACAATAAATTTAATATTTTAAAAAATTTAATGATTTAAAAAAATAAATTTTATTAAATGTAGTACAGGTTAAAAGAGATTGTTTATACACAATAAATTTATTCAGGTCAAAATTTTTAATAATAAAAAATTAATAAATTAAGTACTTTCAATATCAATTACAATTTAATAGTACGTTTAATAAAAAAAAAACTTATTCTGTATTAAGTAGCTAACTAGAAATAATTAATTAATTTAAATAAATAAAAGGTTAATATTAATTACATATGCAATTGCATATTAATTAATTTATAATAAAAATATAAAATTAAAAAAAATTTATAAAGTATATGATTTCTATATGTATGTATATTTGTATTTAAAAAATATTATCTGCTGCTAGGATATTGAAATTATTAATATTTATGTAGATTTATAGTTAATTACTATGATAGATGTTTATTTTTTAAGTGCCAATAAAAAGATTTTAACAAAAAAATTAATTAATTTAAATAATTCGTTTGGATGTACTTTTTTCATAATCCTCTGTAAAATAATATAGTCATTTTAATTTGAATTTTTAGAAAAAAATATTTAAATGAAAATTACTTTCTGTTTGTAAAGTTTTGGGAATTTTCAACATTTCTCTTAATATTTTATGAATAGGTTTTAAATTTAAAAATATTCTCGCAGCATCCATTTTATCGCAGCATTAAAATTTATTCATCATTTGAACAAAAGGATGAGTACTTTATTCTTTTACATTTGGATATGTTATAACACTTCTCACATTATAACTATTTTCTTATAGTGCAGTGTGTAATTTTCATTTAAGTGTCTATAATTTTCAATAAAATATGTAAGTGTATAATTTAGACAAAACTTATTTCATTTAAATGTACAGTTCTTTTATGTGAGTTTATTATTCAATATCACCTTTAGTTGAATCGACAAGTATACATATATTTTAATTATATTTATATGTCTACTAATTTTTTGTTGAATTTTCAGTTTTAATTATCAAATTAAATTCAATTATTAAATTCATCCTATTTGATTTTCAATATTTTTGTCATTTATATATTTATTTTACGTTCATATCGTGTATATGTATGTATATACTTACGTTCATTTTCTTTTTCAATTTTTAAACTCAAACTATCTCTTAGTGTTGGTAATAGCACTTTATTAATGCCAGATGATAAATTGTATAATTCTTCAATTGTAAATGCATGATCAGCTAAAAGTAAATGTCTTTCTAAAATCCTTTGGGACTGAAAAAATGAAAAATTAAATAACAAAATTAATATATATTTTTTTTTAAATATTGTAAAATTTAAAGAAGAAAAAATTTTAATTTTAAATTACAAAAATTATAAAATTACAACGATTAAAAAATTTTTTTAAAAGTTAACCAATTCTTGGAAATTGTGGAAAAGAGTTTTCCCAAAAATTATATACCTTTTTTAATATTAAGGAAATTTCACGGAATTTTTCGAATTCTATGCTAATTTATACTGTACTATTGTTTTAAAAAATGGAGAATTTAAAAATTTTCATATTAGAATTTGTTTTTGGATGACTTAGGAATTTTCCCTCTCCTTCCACAGATATGTAAGTACAAATGTATGTATTGTACTTTATTCCACTCAAAATAATTTTCTATTCCATTTCTTATTTTAACAAATTGATGTTCAAAACAGGTGTTTTTAATGTGATATCTTGGTTTAAAATTAGGTTTGTTATGAAACTTTAAATTTGGTTTGAATTTTCAAAAATTGAACTAACATTATAATAAAAATCCTAAAATTTTTATTGTGGGACACTTGAGTATAATCCGCGAATTGTGCAAATTCAGTTTAGGTGATTTCTTTATATACGAGATGTAAATGATTTGCGTTGAGTTAAACAAGAAAACTGTAATAATAATTTAATTTTGTTTTTATTTACTTAAAGTTATAATAAAGTTTGCAACAGCAAAACTTCAGCATTTTCTTGGTTAAATATGAAAAAAGTTTTTTTTTTAAATTGCAATAAAATTTATAATTTTTACTATTCCTTATGCATGAATTAATTTTTATACCCGTACGAACATATATTCGAAGGGTATACTAAATTTGCCTTACCATTTGTAACGCTAAGAAATAATGATCTAAGTAATAGACTCAAGTGTATGTTTTTGATCAGCGTCGAATTCTGATTTTGCCATGCTTGTTCGTTTGTGCATCCGTAAGCCCGCTCGAGAAATTTGACACACTGAATATGTGAAATTTACAATATTCTTCGAACATACGTTCGTATAGGTATAAACAGGATATATATATTATGAAAAACTGTGAAAATTATTATACAAGTCTTAAAATCATTCTTTCGTGCGAATATCACAGAATTCACAGGTTCAACTGTACCTACTCTCATTTTAATTAAAAATATAATGATACTTAGAATAAAGATAGCTTAATTAAAATCATAATAATGTCATGAAGTTATTAATTTTATAATATCATATATGAATATGGATACTTATTTTATGACTATATTAGTTTTTGAGTTTTATTATATTCCAATAAACTATAAATAAAGGATAATAATTGAGATTTATATGTATTTGGCCAGAATCATAAATGACATTTATTAGATTTTAATAATTTTATATGTGTCATAAAATTTTATAATGCAGTAAATGAAGTATAATTAATGATAATATTATATACATTTCAAAAACATATTTTCTATATTATATTTTATAGTATATTATATGAGTGACTCTTGTTTTTCAATTTATTTTAAAAATGAATTTATGTATGTATATTCATAAAATTCTGATTACCCTATATATGAATCATATATGTGCAGTTGTTAGTACTTAGCTGTATTATTGAAAAAAAAATGAGCGAACAATAATTTAAATTTTTTTTATACATAAAGATTTTGTAGTGAATATATTTTATTCACAGAAAAATTATATTTAATTTTTCTATAAAAAAAAAATAAAAAATTGTGTTGAATTTATAAAATTTTTAACTTTAAAAAATTTTAAGTTAAATTAGATAGAAAAGAATACTTTTTTCATGTCAAATATGGAAATATCCCAATTGATATTAATTAACATTTGTTTTTACCATAGTAAAATTATAATGTTAAGATTTTTTAATTTAAGGAAACACTGACCTTTATTTTCGGTTTAGAGGTTTCAAATATCGACAGACAGACATAATTTTTAATGAAAAATATAAATTTATATAATTTTATTCAAAACACACTTTCGTAAAATTCAAATTTTGTTTTAGACTATCGAAATTTATTATTTAGTGCAGAATATATTTTTAAGAATAATGAAATATTGAAACCAAGCAAAAATAAATAACAAAAATAAAGGCAGAAAAAAATAATTCTGAGTAGGAATAGCAATTATTTAACACCTTAAAATTAGATTATACTTATGTGGACCTCAAAAATATAGTTCTATTTTTTTTTAAACTAACGTTTCGGTGTTAAAACTGTAATGTTTCAGTTAACAAAGAAAAAGTATAATTTATCCTCAAGATTCCTTAAGAACAAACTATAAAATCATTCCTCAAGATTAAAATTTAATATAACGATAATCTAAAAACGTAACGTTAACACTCAGAGCTTCGAAATAGTTTTTAAAATTAAATTTCACAATTAATGCATTGCATTATATAAACAAGTTTTTAAATAAGGAACAACATTTTTCAAAAAATTTTCAATTATCTAACTCATATACCTTAATATATTAATATTCATACATACATATGTACATATATTTTAAAGTTATATTGTAGGACCATCGAAAATTTAAGAGAAAACCGTTTTGAATTTAAGAGTTGTATAGTAATTACCACACTGTTTCACACGACCTGGTTTTTTTGCATGTTTAGTGTTATTTTATACATACGAGTACATGTCAGTTGTCATATAAACTCGTACCATCTCAAAGATCTTTACTGAAAATAATGGCCATATTACTATATCGTTTACGCAATATTGCACGACTAAATGATTTTTGAAATTGTATGACAGCTATTACTATAAGTCAAGAAATTTCAACTAATTTTATCAAATATAACAGGCCCTATAATGTACTTGTTTATTGACTGGCAGACATGGCTAAATTGTTTCAAAATTATACGCTGATCAAAAACACTTATGTTCACATTTGAACTATTGTTTCTTACTGTTACAAATGGTAAGGTAAATTTAAAATACCCTACGAACACATATTCGTATGGGTACAAACAGCGAACAATTTTAATATTTGAAGTTTACTTTATGAGTAGCGCACAAAAAAAAAATATTTATATAGTAAATAGATTTATATATACGAGTGTGAACTTTTCTTCTAATTCAAATAAGAGCACAAGTTTTATTTAAGTAAACTTATATACAAATATGTATACATATAGATATTACTTACAGGGTTACATGCACCCTTATTCTTTATACCACACATTTATTATCTAGTTGAATTTAATGCATTCTTTTTTACCAAACATATATATTTGAGCTTATTATATTATTGTATAGTACATTATTATGGTGTATTATTGCAAGTGTTATCATAATAATAAAATTCATTTTAAAGTCAATTTAATGCAACGCAATGTTAGTTATAAAGTTTTCATGAACACTATAAATTAACAAGTATAGACACTATTATTCTTACAATTATTATTCTCATTATTATTGTAAAAATAAACGACTATTAAAAGCTTATTAATAGCTTATTACTTAACCCAACACGCTATATACATATTGCAATAAGATGCATATATATAATTATGTAGAATGTTGTACTTAAATATGTTTATTGTGTACGTACAATATTGTATATATTTGTTGAATAATTATTATATGTGTAAATATATGGCAATGTAATTAAAATTAATGTTTATTATTTTAAAAGAAGTTGCCACTATATTCACTTAAATTGCAAGCCGATGATAATAAAAAATATAATATGAAGGGATCAACTTAATAAAGATGTGTGAAACGATAAGGGAATTTTCTTTTTATTCATCATAAATAAGGAAAAAAACAAAATAAAATATGATGTATATTTATAACGTAAATATAATTTTTCTTTTATAAGGCCTTAAATTTTAACATAGTTTATGTTTTTAAAGATTTGAAATACATGGTATTCATATTTAAAAAATAAATGTCATACAATTACAAAACTCAGAATAAAACTGTAAGTTGCATATAAAGTATGGTAATCTTTGGAGACAGTGATATTGATATGTAAACTAAATGAACCTGCAATTTTTAAAAACCTACGACGGTTAAATATGATTTGTGGTTCATTAGAAAAAGAATGAATAATGAAATATCAGTAGTATTTGTAGCTGAACCGATTTTGTTAAAAACCTTATTTTTATAAATATCCTACCACTTCCGTTTAAATTTAATCCTTTTCGAAGTTTTAAAAAAGCAAGTCTTTTTGGCAACATATTGCGTTTTAAATAAATTTACAATATTTAGCTGTATCCAGTTTAATTTCTATGCTTGTTTGCCCTTTTTAAAATTATAACTTTGCCTCCCCCAAAAGTATGCAAAATTATATTTTGCTTAAAAAAGAATTTATTTATGTAGCTAATAGAAAATTGTTCTCATTTATTCTAGATCTAAAGCTATATATATATGTTTGCAAATATTTTTAAGTTCTAGACTAAAACTGCTAATAGAAAATAAATTATTTCAACAAGTTGAACGATCGCATTATTTATCTTATTTTGATGTGGACCAACTATATCTTGTCGTATATTTTAAATAAATCTTAAGACTTTAATAAAATAAATGTGCAGATATTTATATTATATACATATATATATATATATGCACAATTTATATTATATATATTATTATTATTTTTTTTAATTCTCTTTGTTATTTTTACTGTTTTGCTCATGTTTATTTTAGGGATAATAGAATGCACTACATTATAATAAATTGAGATTTTAGTATGATGAATTGATGTTATATGATAGTATTGTATACATACACGTATTTATTCATATGTACATATATTGTATATAATACATTTTAGTCTTTTTATGGTTTAAGCTCTTTGGATATGATGAATATAATTTTTTTTAAAAAATAAAATAACATCATGTATTTTAACCGTTGTTTATGAAAGGATTATATATTTATAAAAATTTTTTATTTTTCAATAGGATTATATACGATTTACAAATAATATTTGATCTTAAGAATACTGATTACATCAATGAAGATCTTTTTAAAAGTTTAATTAGCGTTATAAAAACTTAAGTACCTTATAATTTAAAATTAAATGAGCATTTAAATATTAAGAGAATTTTGTTTCATTTTTTCCTTTGTGGAAATATAGATAAAATTTTAAACCTAAATCATAAAATAAGTAATGAATATAAAAAATAATAAAACATTGATGCATTGAATATATCTGTAAACTATTTTTTTGTTACTTAATTTGGCGGAACTTAATTAATTAAGTAGAAAAACCTCTCTGTAAATATTTAATCAAGTAAATTGAATTTTATATTGCTGAGAAAATTATAATTTTGTTTATTAATAAAATTAAATCTGATTATCGGTAACCTTAATTTATATAACATACTTACATGATACATAAAATCTCGCATAAATAATTTTTTATGAGTTGAAGGATATTTTAAATTGACATTGTCCCATGCTTTATTTGTTGCAACAAAATACGTGTATACTGCAAATGTATTATTCAATTTCTCATTAAATTTTGAATACTGGCCAAGATTATATGTTGATCTGTTAAAGAGAGAAAAATATTTGAAAAAATTTAAAATTTATTAATACTCGTATTTATATAAAAATTATAAGTAAAAAATTATAAAATAATTAAAAAATATTTTGTAGATACTAGATGCTAGTTTTGTATATCAAAATTTCAATCTGATTTGCGATATTATTATACAATACAATGTAAAGGTAAGCTTCTCGTTAAATAAAATGTGCATTATTTATAAATTTTTTAAATATTTTTTTCAAATTCAGTTGTTATATTTTTTGATAATAATTTATTATTACTGAAAGTGAGGGAAGCGAATTCATTTTTTTATTTTATTCAAGTTCATTTAAAAACTTTTTAAGTTAGAAAGCTATTAATGTATTCTTTTAAGTGAAAAATGATATGACAAATATGTCAAGGATATGAAGAGTATACTCATAAAAAAGAACTTTTTCTTTTTTTTTCTCTAATACATAAAAGTGATGATTTATGATTTCCACATAAATTTAATATTCATGTTGAATATTAAATATTCAAAATGTTCAGTTTATTTTTTTTTCTTAAAATAAATATTGACTTGTTTTCATAATTTTGATTTTCAATTTAGCTATCAGAAATAAGATAATTTTATTGTTAAAAACTTGATCGCGTGGGAGGGGAGGACACGTAAATCTTTCGGTATTTACATAACGATAATGTCAATGGTTGCTGTCAGAGTAGCTGTTATCGAGTTTACTATTATAGATTTTTAAACATGAAATTTTCAGGTTTTTACGAGTATCTTAAAAAAGTCATTATTTTTTATTTCTGTTGCACTACATTATCCTGAATTACTTAGTCATATCTAATTTCCACGTCACACGATCATTTATCAGGTAAAGTGATAATTTATGTAAAAGTCAAAATATTTTAAAAGAAAAATTCATGCGGCATCTATTTAACGCTTATAAACAAAAAAAATCCAACAAAATGTTCGTTTATATAATTTATAACATTTTATTTATCACAACGCGACTGTATTAGGAAATTTATACTATGGCTTACTTTTAATGGAGTATATTCTCTTTAATCAGAAACTATTGGCATTAATCAACATAAATATTATCACAAATCGCACACAAGTTATCATTATCTAAAATCTATATGATCAAATTTTCAGTGCAAAATTATTAAATTTATGATAAAATGAAATGTTCTTCAATATGAAAATTTAATTTAAGATGATTATATTTTCATTAGATATTTTTCAATATTTAAAAATGTTCCTATATAATTATAAAATATAGGTACGTGTATAAAATAATTTAGTAATTTAAAAATATTATTGAGAATTAATCAAATAAATAAATTAACATAATATGAACAGGACATTATTAAATTTAAGGTAATCAAAATTATTTAAAATTCTTTATACATATATATATATATATAATTCAATAAAGACCCATAAATAAGTGTAAAGTATTTGTGCTTATATTTTAATTTAATTTTAGCATTTTGTATAAGGATTACAAAAAATATATATCATGATATAACAGGGTATATAAAACTATAATGAAAAATTTCTTACATTATACAGAAACTTAAAATTTTCAATAAATCATGTATATATTTTTTATTAAATAAAATTAAATTTGCAAATTTTTAAATTGCCTATGGGGAAGTATGAAAATAATGCATCAAATTCATTCAATTTAATTTTAGTCTATTAAATAAAAAGTTATATTACCTCAGACAACATTGAAATTAGAAAAATATTTTTGTATTCTTATTAAAAATTTAATAAATTGCAAGTAATTAATTCAAATAGAAATTTTGTACTTGCATTTCTTGCAGCGAAAGAAACAAAAATTTATACTATATTATAGATATGTCAAATTATATATGAGTTTGTATGTATGTATGATCCAAATTTGTCATGTCTGAATATTAGAGAATTTCCAAAAACAGATTAGTAATCAGAAATTTTACAAAATAACCGAAAATAACTAAACGTGAAAAATATTTTATGATACAAAATAAAATTTTTAAAATACATGTAGAAAGAAATTAAATTCTTTATGTAAATTGTTATCATTTCAATAATTATTATACGTAATTGTTATACAGTGTGATCAAGAAGTACTCAGAATACTCTAATAAATTCATTTTTGATAATGAAAGATGATAATGAAATATTTTCAGTTCGGTGTTTTTTGCATATAAAATTAATTTCATAGAAACATTAATTTTACATTTCTTTAAAATTTCTTTTAATTTATGAAATTTTTGCAGTTTCAAAGTTCAAAAACAGAAAGTATTAACGAATAGAAAAAAAAATTCGAAATAGCAAATATGATCCCTTGTTAATATGTTTATAAATTTTTGTTTTTTAAATTCCTACATGATTTTAAATGTTTTATGATTAAAGCTATTCCTATGATTCCTATGATTCCTATGAATAAAGCTATTAAAAGAACTTGCATAAATATTACTGAATAAAATTTAAATCAGATGTGATCAGCACATAACCGATTCCATTGTCCTATTTGAAGAAAATCCATTGATTACTTCTGAAATCGAAAATGAAAAGGCTCAGTATAAGTCTAGTTTACAATCTTTCATCACCTTAAAAAATTTTTTGGTTCGTTGGTTTAGCAACTATAGTATTGAAATATAAGATTTTTCGATAAGTTATTTCTTGATTAATTTTTTATATAAGTTCAAAAATTTAGATTTGGTTCTTTGTAAAGTTAAAGTTGCTGACTATAAGAATTTCCAAGAAATTATAGATTAATTTTATTGTCATACAAAATTTATGTATAAAACTTCAAGTACTCGTAAATATAATTTAATCAAAAGATTAATAATGTAATATTAACTTCATGGGAAAGTCTAGGTCCAGATTCGTATATTTGAGAAAGGTTGATCAAATCTTCATATACAAAAAATAAACTGAGATATAAATTTATGTGGTAATCGGTTTAGCCGATTTTCTTAAGTATTTTTTGACCAACCTTAGTTGAATTCCTATTATAATGTTTTAATTAAACTGAAAATTATGAAAATTATAAAATATTAAGAAAATTTTTAATAAAATACTATATGAGAAATGATGAAGAAATTAATATTAATCCGTAAAAGTTTATTTATTTTACATAATGAAGATTATGCTTGCTAAATAAAATTTTTAGGTATTTCATATGGTTTTTATAAAAATTCTCTTGATACACAAATATTTTTAAAGTATTTAACCTTAATAACATGGTTCAATAAATCTTTTATTAATTTTCTTAAAGTCTTTTATTTTATAATATTTTTCTTCTTAAAATAGAAATTTAAGAAAGTTTTTGGAATGTTCATTAAATTAATTCAAAATTAATTGTGTTTAATATCTACATATAGCAATAACTAAAAATTTAATATGTAGTTAAAAATATTTATATAATATAGTTTTAATTGTTACAAGATTGACTAACATGGCAGATAGATGTTATGGGATATAAGGTTACTACTCGTATCACGTAAATATTAACTTTATTTGAAAATAAAGTTTTAACTGATCATTTCTGTTTTGCATAGATTCAATTAAGATAATTGCATTAATGTTTATATTTTTGATTTTTTTTTCCAAAACGAGTAGACGATTTTTTTGTGAAATTCCAAACTTCCGAAGACAATCAATTTCATTTAAAATTTTATTTGATATTGCAATCATTTTTCAAAATGGATTGCGGATCTGTAGTTTTCCAATTTTATAAAAAAGAAATAAAATGGCCGAAATGATATAGACTAGTTTTGTTTAGGCATTTATGAATATCTATATGTTGTGCATTATATTACTTGGATATATATTTGCTTGATAGTTCTCGTACATTAAAAATGAGATATGCGCGTACATCAAAAATGAGATCAACTTAAAAAAGAAATTGTTTTTTTTTTATTATTTATTTTCAAATCGATGAAAATCTTTTTTACAGAAAGAAAATTCAAGTTTTTCCTTAATAATTATAATATATGTATGTATGTATATACTTAAATGTATGTACATCTAAATACACATTGTTTTCAATTATTATTTCCATTAAATATTCTTAAACTAACATATTATAATATATTCTTTAAGAGAAAAAGGAGTTGACCACAAAATCATTATAAAATTGTTTAGTTTTCATTAATATTCATTATGAAAATTTACTGACCCATGTCAAATTTTATATGTATTTACATTATGTTAACATTTCTGTGTATTTTTTATACATTACTCGTATATACATGTTGTATTGATTATTATAAGGGAGGGACTACTGGATTTTACGAAATTTGTATTTCGTAATTCAATGGTATTCTTGGTATACCATATTGAAATACCACAATGAATAAATACTCGTATTATGTATATACTCATATTTTAAAAATAAAAGCACAAACACAAGAGAAAAAATCAAAAACAATAATTAATGTCATGTCATATTTAAAGCACATAATCATGATTTTTAGATTTTAAAAAGACTGACATTTCATAATTAAGAACAAATTGATTTGATAAATTTTTATACATACTTAATATTCAACATTCTATCTGTTCTACTCATAATGGAATGTCGTTATAAAATAATGATAACTCATTGCTTCCTGATTTACAAAATGTTCGTGTAATATTATTTTATTAAAAAGGATTCTAAGAAAACAAATATTAAAGTTAGAAAATAATTTTTATTCTTGAAATGAAAATTAATTTACTAAATATTAACAGATTTTATAAAACCTTATTACTTGGGGAATTTTACTCGTAATATGTAAATGTGTAACATTGGGTGTGAATATAGATATATATATATACATATATAATGTAAATATTGTTAAGCTGTTTAATAATAAATAATGGAGAAAAGGGAATGTTTGCTTTTCACCTTTTATGTTAAAAGTGATTTATATAAAAATTGATTAAATTTGATTTTAATTTATAAATTAAAAGAGAATGCAAGGTTAATTATAGAAACCTTGCTGATGGTATTGGAATATTTAGTGTTTAGATTTTATTATAATTGATTATATTTTGGCAGATAATTTTGGTTTTTTTTAGTTTACTAAAAAAAAATCCCGATAGAATATTGAATTTAAAATTTAATTAAAAAGTTTCACCTCTTTTTACAGTTTGGTGTGTCAATTTCATGAAAGTCAATAAGAATGATAAAACTTTTTGGGTAGAAAATGTTAAATTTAAGTGCAAATTTACGAAATAAATCTTAAAAATTTCAGTTTTTCAATTTTGGAAGAAATTGCATGATAAATTAAAAATTTGGGCATATAATGAAAATTTTTTGTATTTAATTATACCTTAACATAGGATCCTCTTCTAATTTCATTAAAATTGTTTTATATGGAACACCTAAAACTCGATCGATAATATGAACGAATCCATTCGTTTGTGCAACATCTGGTTGTTCAAGTGTTGCATTAACACCACCACCTTCAACTGTTACAACAGTATTTTCTGGATCTTCTTTTATATTGAAATATAAATAAGTTTTATTACTAATAGTAGACCATTGTGCAGCACCCTGAACAAATTAAAATTAACAAAAAAAAAATAAATATTTTTATATAAGTGTTTAAATAAATGAAAAATATTATAAAAATAACATACTAATTGACTTTCTTCTAAGTTGATCATAGCATTCTTATTACGAATTTGTTCAACATCAATTCGTCCTTTCATTACGTGCAATTTTAGAAGATCTCGAATTTTTTCCTTGTTCCTGGAAATACAAAAACAAAAATAATAAATAAAAAAATTTTAAAATGAGAATACATTTAAAATGAGAATAATATTTTGAATTTTAATTTGATCCCTTTTTGACAAAATATTTTCGATGGAAAAGAAAATATTGGTAGAACATTATTAAGATTTTCTAAATTTTATATAATTTAAAATTGAGATTTTAATAATAAGTTTTAAATTCAAAGAAATTATGTAAATGCAGTTTGTTAAATGGATTTCATTGCTCCCTGTGATCTTTGCAGTACATTCAAAAAATTTGAATTTATTCCTTTTAGTTTTAACATACATTTGCTCTGCAGTTTCTGAATAATTTTATATTCTTGGGAATGTTCAGTTGATTGAACATTTTTTATTTGGTCATGGCTACATAAATCATCAAATCATTTTGTGATATTACAAAATTTTTATTATCTGAATAATAAGCAGTTTAAATTGCAGTTTTCTGCTTTGTAATAAAAAAGTTTATGAGTCAAAATTGTATAGGATATTTTACATAATATATTTAAAATAGTAATGAGAGTATCTGTACTTATATCGAAATATCAGGAGTCCTAAAAAACCTTCAAATAAAGTGAATTTTTTCTGAAATCAGATTTTTTTAATAACAAACTACGAAAAAACTGTTATATTGATTTTAAACAAAGCACCAAAAACATTTGGTTTACAAAATGAAATCATTTGGGTACTCTTTAATTTTATACCGGTCAAAAAGTAATCACTATTTTAAAAATTAATTTTTAGGTCTCAAATTAAAATTAATCGAATATTAAAAAAATTATATTTGAACCAAAAAAAATTAAACTTCCTTTAGCTTTCTTTTCCTATGTAATTTTTAAATGATTACTTATAAAATATTAGAACATAGAACGAATAAAAGTTTTTCTCCTTCAATGGTCTTTTTGAAATATTTTTTTTTTTAAATAAAAAAAAAGGCAAAATACTGATTACAAATTAGTTTGGTTCTAAAAATATTTTCTGGTTCACTCACCTTTAAATAATCTTTTTGCCCTTGTATTATCTTAAATATTTTTCATTGTACACGTATATAGCGTACTTGTTCAAACATATACATAACATATGAAAGAGCTAAGCATATACATACATACATAATTATATTTGTTTTTAGGAAAATCTTTCTTTCATCAAAGATATTTTTGATTAGTTTCTTTTTTTCTCAAAAGTTTCAACTTTGTTTTTTAAAAAACAAAAAAAGAAACTAAAAAAAAAAATTTAAAAATTTGAAATAAACAAGCCTTATGATGCAGGAGGAAAACTTTGATTTCCTATATATAAATGGCTTCATATACACAATACACAGATAGAGATAGAGGAAAAGATCGATTTATTCAACAAGTATTGCTTTACACTTTTCATTTTATTGTTTTCTTTCTTATAACATTCGATTAGAATAATAGAAAAAGGATATTTTTAAGGATGTAACTTTTTGATGTTTTTCAATCTTTATTATTTTTTAATACTATGGCTATATATGTATATATATATATATAGTAAGGCAAACAATTTTAGATCTATACAAACAAAAGGAATGATGAAGAATCTATTTAAAAGAGCTTGAACACTATATTTTCTATTATATATGTATATGCATATCGAAAAGTATTCCTATGTTTTTATTATATAAATTGCGAGAAAAGAGATAGTTTCCTTCTATTTTTTATTTTCTTAAAGGATAAAAGGACATATTTCAAAATTTTCAAATTGATTGTACTTAGTGTTTAGTTTTACTGAAAAATCAATTTAGTTTTTTTAAATTAAAGTTGTAAAATTTTATAAGTTTGTTGTAAAATTGAAATTTTTTAATTTTTTTTTGTAAATTCGAAAAAGTATAATTGGGTTTTGTTATGTAATAACACTTTTGTCTATACTTTTATATAATAAAAATTTAATTTTTAAAATTGTTGTTTTTTTAACAATATGCTTTTGTCTTTTGCATTGTAATACCGAAATTTACTTTGTCTTGAAAATATGCCAAAATAATAATTAGAAACTATCAATTTATTATTAAATTGAAAATTGCAAAAACAGAATGTGTTTTCAAATTAACCAACTGCTTATTCACTTGATGAAATTAGAAATTGAACTTCTAGACAAATCCTTTATGCAATTTTGTTTATCAATCAATTTATCAACTATTTTTGCAGAAAAATATTGTACTCCTTTGTTGGAAAGGCACAAAATATGTAAAAAAAATTTTAACAGATGAGTACACTTTATTTATAAGTAACAGTGTATAAAAACCTTATGGAACTTATAAATAAAACATTGCTACGAAAATAAAAACCGACCCTAAAATTTAATCACGGCTTCACATTATTTGAATAAATTACAGCTGTATACTTTGCAAATTTGTAGACAACTTTTTACTGTGAATATAGAGTCAATTAAGAAACCAGATGCTTTATCATCAAATTAGTAAAATTCTCGAATTACAACTAAAAAAATAAATGTTTCATTGGTACTTTATTTTTTTTATTAATAAATGTGATTAATTTGATCTTGATTGTTTTTAATTTCGATAAATATTTTAAATATAGAAAAAAACGTGTTTTTTAGCTTTAGTCCCCGGAAAGAAATTCTACTTTCTGAACCCGTAGCAATCTTGAAACTCCCATATTTCTTTAATACACTTACCTATTTTTTTTTAAGCAACATAAATATTTCTATTTTCATTATTTGAAATAATTAAAGAATTATCGGTAACCTTGCATTTCAAAGAGCTTATTTGGAAGGTGTATACATTTTTTGTAAAAGACAATCTATTTAAAGGACAATAATAACAAAATATGCCAATTTATTCAAGAAAGTTTAGCTTACATTGTAAGGTAAAAACACAAGTATTTACTAATATTAAATTTGCTTTGACTATTTTACAGCCTCATCATGTATTAAATGGATGTTTAAAGAATAGCTTTTGAAAAGGTCATACTGCCTTCGAGATTCTTATATAATGAATTCAGACAAAGTTTTACTAACTTGGACTGTGGATATTTTGGATAATATTACTAAATAAATTAAAAATAAATTTTTTTCGAAAATAATTTTAATTAATTTTTATCTGATAATTCGATTTAATAACTAAACGACATTCTATGCCCAAAATAAGAGCTTAAACTTAGAAGAAAAAAAACAATGTTAAAATTTTTTTTTATGAGAAAAACACAACCTTTAAAAGTATCCTTCTTAAATTTTCTTGAATTACTTTAACTAAACCTTTTATTTTTAGTCTTTTTGTTTTTTTTTATTTAGAAATCCCTTCAATGAAATTTGAATAATTATCTAAAAAAAAGTTCGCTTCAAATATTAAAGCAAGAAAGCATAAAACAAAAACAACAACAAAAAAAAAAGAATTGTTTTTTTTTTGGATATTCTTAAAAATAAAGAAAAATTTTAAAGTTAATCCACAACCTTTTTGTAACGTTTTAAGCTAATGAGTGGGCAATAAATATTTAAGGATCCTTATAACAAAGAACGAAAAAATTATAAAGAATAAAATGAACGCAATTTTTTTCAAAACAAAATTTGAATTTATTAAAAAACACAAAAAGGATTAAAGAAAACACAAAACAAAATGAGAGCAAACAAAAAAAAAAACTCTTTTTTTTTTTTTTTTTAAGGCAATTTGTTAATTTACAGGACATTATTTTATTCTTCTCTTCATTATATTCCTTCCAAAAAATCGTTGGAATGACTATATTCATTCAATTTATGAATTAAAATAAGGTAGTCAAGAAAGGTGGCAAAAATAGGTAATGTAAACGTTGTGTCTTCTTCTTTCATATCAAAAGTTAAATTTAATTGAAAGTTATGAAGCTAAAAGACTGAATAAAACATATTTTCGTTTTGAAATATTTAAAGGAAAATTTGCTTTGTCCGTTCGTCTACGCGTTTGCTTACAAAACCTGTATGGTCTTTGTAATAGAAACTGGCAATTTTGCGCAAAAGAGTATCAAAATTTGTAATTAAACGCCCTTCCTTTTTCGCTCATATTAAAACTTATATAGTGACCCAAAGTTCCCGAAAAGAATCTAATAACATAATCTGATAACTTGTCTTATTCGGTCATCACTATGTTATTGCGGTATTTAATATTTATTCTCCTCCTGGAGTTATGCAATAAGTATAATGATTATGATGTTTAGATAATAATGCAAATACAGCATCTTTTTTATAAAGAATGTTTTTAATTGTTGAAGAAAAATGTGCTCTTTTAAATTGTGCTTCTTTTATTTTAATTTCTAAATAAATTTTTGATTTTTTATTTAAAAGCAAAAAAGAAAAACACCAGCTCCCTAAACAATGACGAACGAAGAATAGACAAAATGATTAATTAATTATATAAATTTTTTTTTTATTCAAACAAAATAGACTGGCCGTTAATCCTTTCGAGGTCAATTTGTTGGTTGATTGTGAACAATTAATTACTCTGTATGTTGTATTCCATTTAAAAGGAATCATTCCTCGTTCCATTATTTTTTTATTCAAGAAAGGTTTCTATCAAGGCATGACATAAAATAATTTTTCAAAAAATTTTTGTACTCAATTATAATTTGTATTATACGAAAATATATTAGTATATACATATAAATTATGTACTTATAATCAATTTAGTACATATAAAATATTATATAGCTAAAAGATATCATCGGATCACTGAGTATAATAAAAGATAAGGTTATATATCGCCCTGAGGTAACCATTAAATTAAAAGAAGTGATTTTAATACAAAGAACAAAAAAGAAAACGGTAAAATAATTTAATATAATTGCTAAGAATAAAATTAATTACATTTTTCCTTGTTTTTGTGATTTTATTGGAAATGTAAAAGTCATTTAAAGGATCAAGAATTTGTATAAAGTTTTATATTATAGTAATATACCAAAATAATGTGCTTCAACTCCGCTTTTCCTTTTAATTTTATTTTCTAACATTATAAAGTTTCGATAAAGGATATTATAAACATTTTCGTATGTTGCAAATATTTGAATTTTTGTAAATTGAATTTTATTATATAGGAGATGTAGTAAAATAAATTTGACTACTCACTTACATTAATATAATTTTCAATAAATATATGTATATACGTATAACAAGATGTACTTATATAATATATAGAAAAGATTAGAATAAAAAGTTTATAACGATTAGACAATGATACCAATCTTATTTTCATTATAATAAAAATTAAAAATAAAAAGATTTTCTATTTTTATGTAATGACAAATTCGTTCATTTGAATAAAAGGGAGATTAAATAAATTTGGATGGGATCCATGGTTTTTAAAGCAGCACTTGCCTTGGACAATTGAAAATATTTTCTTAAAGGCAGCTCTCTATTTAAATTATTTTATTAATATAAATTTCAACAATATTATATTATGAAGAATAAAAAAAAATTGCATATTTTTAGGGAGGGAGGGGGGGGGGGGGGGGTGGGGCGAAACAACATATTAAGGAAGGGCTCAAAAACTAGTTCAATTTGACGGTAAAGTAGATGAGTTAAAATAAAATTAGAATGAGTCAAAATAAAATCGTATGACGTTACCTTGAAAGAAGAGGAAATTGGTAAGGAATTGTGCAAACTGTTAATATCTTTGAGTTCTGTAACAAGTAGTCTCAGAGAACAATGGTATCAAAAAGTGAAAAAGACAAAATTAAGATAAAGACTAATTTCAATAGCTACTTTGTCAATGATGTCTATGTAGTTTTACGACGGGCTAAGCAGATACTATTTTTCTGCGCTCTGTAGAATTTTAAAATTGATTGTGGATAATAAATTGTTAGCAAATGTGCGTGGACAGAATGGTGTAGGACAGTTGGAGGGACACATTGGCACTAACAAAATATTTTCTTTAAATTTCGTGGAAAAAGGCTAATATTTAAGACAAGATTCAATTGTTTCTTTAATAAATTTATATAAATTGTGTTTATAATGATAATTTATTTTTTATTGTATTACTGACTATTATAACAATAAAAATCATGTATAAATCAGTTTAATTACTTAAAATTAGAATTATTCTATCTTAATAAATATTGTGCCCTATACTCGTATTACACTTCCTATATATATAGATTTTTCAATCTTTTAATACGGATTTTGTACTTTGCAATGATAATTTTATATTTTGTAGAAATTTTTGTGTTAGGGAAATATTGTTGTTAATTCAGCGTTTGCAAGTTGGAAGAAAGAATTAAAAGAACTTTAATTAAAAGGTGAAATTTTTCACAATTTTTAAAAATTTTTTGGTGTAAATCTATGCTAAAACTATGCTCTTAAGATCGTTTAAAGATTAAATTAAAAACTGGAAATGATTATTTTATTTAATTTGTGTCACATTATAATATAAGGTTCTTGAATTGCATATATGAAAAATAACCCAATTTAAAATTATTAAAATTTAAAATGTGAATCAATGGTTCTGTAAACAAAAATCAAATGATGATTTACAAATTAAGACTAGCACATATTACTGCAGACGATATGTTAGAAATTATTTCGGACTATTAAATTATGTGCTTGTAATATATTTTGATTTTAATTGATAGTTTGTTTGTACACAAATTTTGAGTTGAAAAATAAATTTCAAAAAAAAAAAACAAAATATGTTAATAGAAGAGAATTAAATTTTATGAAATAATAATCATTAACAGGTTCAATTGTATTCAAAATTTTTAATGTTCAAACGATTTTAACAAAATACACGCAGAATTATAATGAAAATTTTATAAAAGAATTGAATAAAGAAAATCTATTTAATCCTATTTGCATTTATGAAGTATATATGCATGTACAAATGTCATATAGATATGTACATATATTGACATTCTAATTATTATAAATCATAGTGATTTATTTGATATGCGGTCAATGAATTTTTAATTGTTAATCATACCATAATAATGTCAATTGAATTAATTTGAAAATTAAAATGAATGATTTTTTTTTTATCTTCTAATTTTAAAAATATATTTTTTTTATTGCCTGGTAATTTTTTTTTATAATTCATTCGGATCAAAAAGTTTTGATTACAAATATAAAATGTGAAAAATTTATTTTGTATTTAAAGAAAGAAAGGAAAATAAACTTCTACCCCATACACTTTCGTTCACAAGTCAAAAGGATAAGGCTATATTGTTGATACAAGTACATTTATATAGTGTAAATTGAAAAATATTAATAAATCTGCCCCAAAAAGTATGCAAAATTAAAAGAATTTTAGATATTTTCATAAAAAATTATCTTTAGAAATTTTACAAGCCTTATGAAGAGATTTTTAATTTCACTTAGTTATCATTAAAAATTTGATTTCAAACAAGTGCTTTAATTAAAATCAATTAAATTGATTAAGTTTAAATAAAGTCTTTGCGACTGAATAAAGACTTTTTCATTTAATTATACTTTACTATTTCTACCATACCATATTTGTAGAACCAATTTCTGTAATAATATTTGTGGTATGAAAATTTCAATATCGATTTTGAAGTTATTTATACTCGTATTACTGAAAAAATGTCATAGACTTGCTTAATTTTTAATTTTGTTCTCATAGAATATCACATAAATCTTAAATTTTAATAAACTCACTTTGAAAAATCAGTTAAATTTGATCTAGTCCATGCTTCATTACTTGGTGCCAATATTGTTACTTCACCACTTTTCGTTATATCATCTAAAATATCACCACCAGTTTCCATAATAGCTTGATGAAATTTATATAACGCTCCATTTTCATTATCCTTGTTTTTTTTTTTTTGTTTAAAAAAAAGAAAAATTATAGAATTATCAGAAAGAAAAACAATAATATTTTAAAAATTAATAATTTATGCATATGCGTTAAAATATTTTTATATTAATTACAGAAATAGAAAATTAAAAATACAAAAAAAAAATTTTTTTATATAATTTATTGTAGATACTATATAAAATATATTTAATAATTTATTTTTTAAATATACTTGTATAACACAAATAAAAACATTTCAATTAAATATTAAAATTATATTTTCTACTTAATTATAGCAAATTAAAAATTTAAGTGCAATTTAAAGCGACATTAAAATTAAATACAAGCATTTAATTATTTAAAAACAAAAAAACGTAAAAAAACAAATTTTTATAACAAAACACAATAATAAAATTAAATACACCAATTATAACAGTAATACAATAAAAAAGAATTGCGGTTTTTTTTGGGGGGAAAAAAAATTAAATTAAAAAAATTTAATATAAAATTTTTTTTTTTTCAAAAGGGAATTAAAATAAAATTAACAAAAAAAAATCGAATATGAAAAATAATTACTAAAAACTAAAAATATTTCTTTTACTAAAATCTTCAGTTTACGAGCAATTAAAGATTCAATATTGTTCAAATTTTTTTTCTTTCACATAAACAATACAAAATTCAATTATTTTTTCTAAATTATTCATTGATTCTTCTTTTAAACATGATCTGGGTGTCAAGGATGTTAGCAATATTGTTATCTCGTTAGTTTGTTTTTATAAGATAAAACACATTGTCCATTCTCAGATGTTGTAGGTCAATATGATGTTATAGTAGAACAATTTAATAAGATTGAAGGAGTTATGGGATAAATCATTCGATAACCAATTTTAATTCAATTTCATAGAGTATCATTAAATTATTGTTACGGGAATAATGAAGATATTTGCATTTCAAGAGGGAAATGTTATGCATTTGATAAAAACACTCTAAGGCCGTAAAATAAATTCTTATAAAACTGCAAAAATATTATATATGATATAAAGTTTTTTGCGTTTTAATATATATGTATATTTTGCTGATATACACGTAATTGTAACTATGTATAATTTAATACTTCTGTATTATGCTATCAGTAACGCCAGATTTTAAAAGTTTAAATGAACTTAGCTAAATTTAATACATTTTAAAAAATCAACTTGAAATTTTTTGATTTCTTTTTTCAAAAATGCCCATATTACATAAAAGTATAATTTTGTATAGAAATAGGAAAAAAGTATTACAGAAATAATTATTAAATTTAGTTTTTAAACAAGATTTAATAAAATGTTTTTGCATTTTTATAAAATATATTGCACCTAAGGAACATTGTTGTCACAATGGAGAATATGAAGAAAATTAGAAACATAAATGTTTGAATTTATCTTTTTTAATTTGGGACCAGTTGAACTGATTTTCTGAAAATATTTGTTGATTTTATTGAACAATTTCTTCAGTTAGTTTTCATATGACATTATATTATCCCTTTAGAATTTAAGATGAGTGCTTCTCGAAAAGAATATCGACATGATATTTTCAATTAATGAATTTCTAATTACTTAAAACAAATATTTTTAGAATAATAAATAGCATATTTGAAAGTATGTAATAAATAGCATATGTGAACAATTTTGTAATATCGTTATAATATTTTCCAAAATTTTAACTCAAAAATTTTGAAGTGTAAACTTTTAATATACCTTAGTGCTACTTTATAGGTGCAAAGTATAATAATATTACTATGAATTCACAATTAATCATAGTACTATGGAAGTTATTTTATGCTTCCCATTTAGTTGGGAATCAAAAAATCTGGATATTGAAAGTTGTTATAAATTTTCTATTTAATTTGTTTTCTTGCATTATTACATTTAATAAGATTTAATATTATAAAGAATTAATTTTTTATCATTTATGAATATAAATAATAAATTCATGTTATATAATTCAAAATAAGCTTTAAATCTGGCATTGACTGCATATACATACGCTTTTATTTTTTTAAATACTTTCTTTAATTAAAATTTTAATATGAAACAGGATTGTTTTTTTATTTCAAAACACATCAAAGAACACGGGCTTGGGTATTATGACGACTTATGAAAAATAAAAAATAATAATACCTCATCGTATAATATAAGAAATTCCATTAATTCTTCAGCCGGATCTTCTTTCTAAAAAAATAATAATTTTTTTTTATATTATTTTTTTCTTAATTATTGTGAATTCTGGTAGATTTAAAATGTTGTTATTGTATCTAAGAGTGCTTTTATACGAGTATTACGTAAACTGTGTTTCATTTTTGTTTTCTTTTAATTTATATGAAATTTAGAAAAAAAAAATATTTGAAAAAACTAATTTTAAGGTATTTATTACTATTCGACATGACAGCATTAAATCATGCTTTAAATCTCTTACAATATGCGAAAAATAACTTCTACGCAGAAGCTCTACCAACTGAATTACAGAGGTACGCGCAGAAAACGGTATGTCACTGGTTTGAATTCAGTTGGAGGAGAATTCTTTTTTAATTTTTCTGCCTTGACTCGTTTTTTAGGCTATGTCATCTGTCTGTTTTACAGTTGTCTGTGCTTATTCCCATAAGAAATTTTAAGAAAAATCATAGTAACTACATAATGTTTTAGGTTTAAGTATATATTATTTTTGTTTGAAGAATTGTGCCATTTGGTGCAGGAGTTTCGAGTTCATATGTGTTGACTTGCGGAAGGCGGGTACAGATGTCATACGCGCAATAGTTTTGTTTTGTTAAATTTGGAAATTTTAATTTAATAGCAATGAGTTTTGATATAAGATATACCTATTCAAAAGGAATCGAAACTAATTTCGGAATACATACAGTACTCTAAAAATTCTTTTAATAATTGTATTAAATAATTTGTCATTCTGTATTCTAAAATTAAAATAATAGAACATTTCTGTAAACAACTTATTTTTAATAAGCTTCGAAATAGTAAGCTACTAAGACACGTTCACATATTCTTTTTTTAAAAAATTCCTGCTAATTAAGAAGTGACGATAGGAGTTATACATTGAATTTTTTTTATAGATAAATATCACAAATTCGCTTGATACATATTTTATTTATTTCGTAAAAGTAATGAAAAATTTTGAACTAAATATATATATATATATATATATATTCCACAGATTTAATATAATTTTTATTTGTGAAGTTTTATGTACTTCATATAACAAATTTTTTTTAAAAATTCAAATGTACATATTTAGTTAGAATAGTTCAATATATAAATAAATAATATTAATATACAGAAAATAAATATTATACATTAGTAAATAAAGTAAATAAAATTTTAATTTACTTGTCAAAGATTGTAATTAGACTTTTATATTATTGAATTTTATTATAAAATTTCTTAAATTTTATTTTCGTGACATTTTATTTTTTCTGTTTTTACTTAAGTATAATCAAGATCCTTGAAAATATTTTTGATATTTAACTTAAAACAAAAGGAGAAAAAAACAACAAAATAATTATGAAAAATTGAATTATGCTGTGAATGATACTCCAAACAAAAAAATAATAGTTACGAAGATTAATATTTTATAAAATAATTAAAAATTTTGGAATATTAACATTTTGAAAAAAAAAAACATTAGATATAGATTATTGAGAAATCAGTTTTGAAAACATTAACTAAAACAATTAGATCTTGAAATTAGAATAAAATTACTTTGCTATTTTTATAATAAAGTAAGTGTTCGAAAACTTTTAAAAATCCTTAAATGCGATTGCGTGTTTCGAATTATATCACACAGAAAAATATTTATGAAACGTAATTAAGAAAAATTTTGGATTTCATCAAATTTTACCGAGCTCAAATTTCTTACGGCTCAATATTTGATATTTTACGATTAGTCAAAGGTTGGGTTTTTCATCAAAAATTAACAAAACAATAAAATAAATTACTGCACAGCTCCTTCGTCCACCTAATGCGAACGTAATAAAGTGGAAAGTTTAGCAACTGTCTGGGTTGTTGTTCGAGATATTTCTCTGGTAAATTTACTAAGATTAATTAGACATGTGCTCAAGGATATGCTTGGGGGTGGCACAATAGATTTCTTAGAGTACAAAGTATGATCACCTGAATGATCAATCTCAAACGTTCTAAAAAATTTTAAAACTATATGGATTTGTAAAACTTATTTCTTAAAAAAAAATATTTTCGAATATTTTTAAGGTTATGTGTTCATATCCTTAAGAACCAATATTTACAAATCCTTACAATTTATAAAAAAATAAAAGAAATATAAATTTTTTGTCATAGTTTTTATTTACAATAATTAAAATACTTGTAAGTCTTAACAATTATGGTTGACAATATTTGTAAAGTTTACCTTAAGAAAAATATTTAATGGGAAAATTATGTAATATTTTTTTAAAATTTTGTCAACAAAATGAAAAATTTCTATTTCTATTTAATAAAATAATCAAATAAAATATAGAAAACAAATACATGATTGTATGAGTTCAGAATTTCATTCAAACCACATTTTGGTTTTTTTTCAAATAATTCTACTAATTTTAGAACTGTACGTATACCTATATGTGTACATTTATGTAATATATAACAGTATAGTTGACGAAAGTAGATAGATTTGGAAATAATTTTAATTTTAAAAATAGTTTTTAAATTTAATCGAAAAAAAAACAACAAAAATATTTTTTATATAACCAACAATTTTTGGTTTACTTTAAAATCTTCTTATACATATGTAATATAAATGTCAGTTTCTTTGAGAAATTTAAAATATTTAAATAAGTTTTGTTCCAGTCGATTTATGATGAATAATGTTTTTATAATATTATTATACTAATAAGCATATATATAGACACTCGATATAGTAAAACAAAATGTAATATCGTTAAGATTTTTAAAGAAATAAAGAAATTATGTACTAGAAAATCGAAGTTGGACCTACTATTCAATAAATTAAAAGTCAAAAATAACAATTTACAGGAGAGAATCGTAAAGATTTTTATATTTTCATTCTTTGCTTTTATTTTAGTTAGTACAACAAATCAACTTGTTACTATACCGAAAACAGGTAAACGTGGTTAACTTTAAAATTATTATGCATTTAACCTACTATATTTACAACACTTTGGTAAGATTTTTTAAAAATTTAAAAACAAAATTCAAGTCGTCGTAAAGCTATGAAATTACATAGTTTTTCCGCAATGTGTATGAATATAGGCCTAGTTGTTGCATAAAATATAAAAAGCGGATTTTGTGTATTGTAATTGAGATATTTTTTGATATATAGAAATTTGGTATACTTGAAAATCAATTTCTTGAAATGTGACGAATTTTTCAAGCGTTCTCAAAAAAAGTAATTTCCAACAAGAAGTACAATTTTCAATTTCAATAACAAGTTATTTGTTATTTTGCAAATTAATTTGAGGACTGTCTATTTAAGAATAATCCTAAAATAATTAGATTAGATTATTCTTGCAACATAAATTGCTGGCACAAAATATGTGATCTGCATAATACTTAATAAATTAATTTGAACAGTGGATTTTCATGACTTTCCATTGAAATAGAACTCATATAAAATTTCATGTTACTTATAATATGATTTACATGAGCTTGTTAAAATTATTTTGATTCTTCTATGTTGATATTTTTTATGTTATGAATCTCAGAAACCCAAAAGCCCAATGATGAATTAAATTTTTGTAATAAATTTGTGATCATATATAAATTTTAATCAGTAGGAACAAAAACTTTTTTATTTAAAAAAAAAAATTCATTTTATTTTTTCTTTAAATATGAGTTTTTCATACTTCTTTTTTTTGTTTGCTTTTCTGAGGAAATTTTAATTAATATGACAACATTTTCTTTAAAAAGGATTTAAATTTGTTCAAAAAATTTTTGCTTCTCTTTCCTATATTATGTCTTTTTTTTTAACATATTTGGAATTATAATTAATAGGAAAAGATTGATTTTTTCTTCATATACATATTCACATTATGTATTTTATTTATAAAAGATTAAAAATTCATAAAGAGAATTTCATAATTATAAAGATTAAATAAAGATAATTGAGAATAATTTTTGAAAAAACTAAAGAAGATTTTATTTAAAGAATTTAAAATTTAATCTTATTTTAAAAGGAAACATTTTTTGGTTTCTAAATTAAATTTCATATATTTGAAGAGCAGGAAATTAAAAGTTTTTTCCAATATAAATCTAGATTATTCGCGATATTATAATAATTAATTATAATTTAATGTTAGTATTCATTTGAGTTTTATTAATTTCAATATTTTATTTTAGTTTTCAGAATAAACTTATAAAAATTAAATCAATTATTATACTCGTATGAGTTTGTTGCACTGAAATAAGTTTTAAAATTTCGTAACATTTGCATTTAAATTTTCGTAAATTTTTGCATTTACTTCGGATCTATTATGGAGCTGGTGTATATGAAGCTTTTTATATATAAGAGCTTACACTTAAAATATTATAAAAAATTTTGTTTGATAATAAACTGGCAGTCTTAAAAATTAGCTGTGATCAAAACTAATTTTCTTTTATTTAGCATTACGATTCTTATTAGATTAGAAATTTATAATTAAAAAATTTTGCTTCTTGTATTTTTATTTCAATAGCAATACTTTAATATTTTATTTTTAATTTTTTACTTTCGGTAATGTAAATAAACATTATTTATACCTTAATTTTTGACATATCAACAATTTCTTCTGTTTTATTTTCTTCGCTATTAAGAATTTCCTCAATACTTCCGTTAATATCTTTAGTAGTAGTAGTTTCTTCTTCATGTTGATTATCATTACTTGATTTTATATCAACATTTTCAATAACATGATTTTCACCTTTTTCGAGATCATGATCTTTATTGCCTTTATCAATATTATTTTTCTCATTGTTCAATTCACTTTTATTTGCCGGCTTATTGTCATTAATTGTCACATATAATTTTATTTGCATTAACATTGTTGGTTTAGAATTTTGATACATCAAAATTTATGAAATTAAATTTTAAATATAGTCCTTATTGAATTTATTGAATTTTTTTCTTAATAGAAAATCATTTATTCATTTTATATCAATATGTGTTCAGTTATACATATGTATGTAAGAGAAATTATTATAATTACAATATG